TAAAGATGTCATGGATAAGAAAGAAAACAAAAAACTAATGCTAACATCAAATATATATACAAGTTTATTTCCTAACAGATTTATACAAAACAATTTTATCGTCAAAATAATCTAGTCATTTTCATGTAAACATAATAGTTTTCCATTTGATTGTGGTAATAAATTTTTCTCTTTATGTTGAACGCTTTCTACCCGAGATGCAAGCTTTTAGGCTGTTGTCATTTCTGATACTAGCGTTTTTCCTGCTCTTCTTCACTGACAAAAAAAAGATCGAAAAATCGAAACATAAAATACAATGCATAAGTCTGTTGAAGCATACAAAGGACGTTTTGACTTTGTGAAAAAGTAGTTTTTGATAGTGAAACTGGCTAACATGAGCAATGAGTAACGGTCGTCAAAATAGGTCAAAAACGACATGGGTAGTTAAGAAAAGTTGCGACTGAAGGCCTTTTATATATAAGCTTGCACAAAATAGACCTTACAAAGCTTTGTCCAAGAACTGGAACCGCTCAAGAACAGTTGCTCCTTGATAGAAGGTCCGATCGACTTGATATTTTATCAGAGATGCTCTAAGTGGTCAGCAATATCTAGTACAAATTTCAGAATTTTTCCTTGCTCCTTTCAAGTAATACCAATTTTTCTTTTCTTACAAGGTATATACACGTCTGTCAGAGACAAACAATGACAGTAGAAACGCGAAAAAAATGCGAGAAACAGGACTTGCAATTGAAAAGCCCAGTGAATAGTCATAAAATGATATATTCACACTAAATGTAGTTGCACAGTTTGAAAATCTGTTCCTTTATGTATTATCATTGGCCAGGAAACTTCACGTTTACTATACTTTTAAAACTTTAAAAAACCAAATGATATATATATTTGCATGCTTATTAGAAAAACAAATCAAGTTTTCTGGCTAATGATAATACATAAAGGAATACATTTTCAATTTCCGGATACAGCAAATTTTGAAGAAAAATAGATTTTTTCCGAAAAGTGTACATTTTAAAACAAATTTTATCGACACTGTTATTACAGAAATCAATATTTTTCAGAAATAATGTTTTTGCAATGTGCAACTACATTTAGTGTGAATATATCATTTTATGACTATTCACTGGGCTTTTCAATTGCAAGTCCTGTTTCTCGCATTTTTTTCGCGTTTCTACTGTCATTGTTTGTCTCTGACAGACGTGTACTAGAAATTGAATCTGAAACTTGTACTAGATATTGCTGACCACTTAGAGTATCAAGTAGTAAAATATCAAGGTAAAATATCAAGTCGATCGGACCTTCTATCAAGGAGCAATTGTTCTTGAGCGGTTCCAGTTCTTGGACAAAGCTTTGTAAGGTCAAAATCTTCGGAAGTTCCAATTGTGTGATGCTCAAACTTTCAGCAGAATATGAGTAATATCACCAGTAGTTGCAGTAAAATTTTCGAGTACAACGGAATTATGGTTACTAAGAAATCGAATTTTTTTCTCTGAATGTTGAGTTCTTTTCAAATAACTTGAAAAATTCATAACTCGACTCCAGAAGCTCAGACAACCGAACCAGCTTAGGTTTATTGTAGCCTAGACATCCACTTGTGGGCAAAATATCGGCTCAAAAGCGAGTTAACACCTTGACAAGTTCGCTTGTTAGTTTTTAACCTTCAAGCTGATGGTTCCTCTAATTCTATCACGTTCGTCGCATTTTGACACGGTGTTATTAGAAGTATGCGAAAAACGGTCAAAGATTTATGGTTTAGTTAATTCAGTTAATGAGCCTTATAAGACTTACACTGAAAAATATTGATTTCTGTAATAACACAGTGTCGATAAAATTTGTTTTAAAATGTACACTTTTCGGAAAAAATCTATTTTTCTTCAAAAGTTGCTGTATCCGGAAATTGTTTATAATATGTCTGATAAAGAATTGAATTGTGTATAAAATCTGATTAAGTAAAAGGCTATATTACAGTTACCTGATTCATGGTAATAATTTCCAAAATATTTCAATAATTTACATACAGTTAATCGTTTTAATATTTTTCTTTCTTCGTCGAGATAAATTGTCTTTCGAACTTATTCTCACAGCTCTGTTATATAACAGAATGAAAAGAATTTGTGCACAACAGTTTGAGCTCCACGTTTTTTTAACGATACGTATTCATTTGATGGCACATGTGAATAAGTTAAACAATAAGATAGAGAAAAGCATTGTATTTATCTTAGATATGACTAAACTGACTATAATATATTTACTTGATAGAAAGAAAAAGGACGGAAATGATTTGATGTGGTTTCAAGCTAACTATAAAACTTATTACTGTACTTAGTGATAACTGCGTGTTTCAATCACAAAACGGTAGATAGAGTACGATATGGTTTATTTACGTAAAAATATGATAGCTGTAGATTCGAATACTTTTCTTTGACATTCGTGAAATGTAAGGTTCATCATACGTCTCACTATATGATAGACTGACTATAGATGAATCGAAATAGCATTTGCTTTTTTGGAAATTATTTAATTTGTGCATCTTATATCGGAAGTTGCTCCTCGTAACGACGAACGTCTCTAATAGCATTTAGGCAACTCTGTACTGTACACTTCGACAAGTTTGCGACAAACATTTTCTTAACACAGAAGTTGTAGTACTTAATTCTTTCATCACGATAACTTGAAAGACTGAGAATTATATTGCAACGTCACAATTTTTCAAATTCATCGTCACTGTTTTTTTATTGTTCAAAAAATGAATAAACTCAAAAAAAACAAAATGGAATTTTTAAAATTTTTCTTACAACAAAACAAGAAAAAATTGTTCAAAAAGAGGCAGATAATTTAATATAGGTCAAACTGGAGATGAACATGATGCTTGAATATAAATAATTTCTTTCTTTCTTATCGTACTATTCAAAGGATATTTCCATTGCATTATTGAGATCCGATCCTTGAGATATTTTCAGTTAGACCGGCACTTGTACTCCTTACATAGAGTAGAAATTTATCATAATTAATCTAAACAAAAACATAAACAAAAGCATAAAATTGCGATTATACACATATAAATACATTCTTACAATTCAACAAAAAATAGGTTAATGAAAGATCGTATAAAAAAATGAAGAGATTTAATATCAGCTAAAATAATTTATCCATCTATATTTTTCTTCTCTACAAATGATTCCTCTATTTATTTAGCTGAATACAATATTATACAGCATAATTTCTGTGAAGCATTTCGGTCATAACTAACCTTTATGTTACCATGATTTTATATCTAGTCCTTTACAGTTTTTTTCATAATATTTTTGTAGACAGACTCTGACAGCTTGTGAATGTAAAACGTAATTTCCACTACGAACAGTTCGTGATAAAAGACTTTCATTTTGTAGGTCATTTATAACGCCTAATCTAATTGTTTGATCGTTTTCAAGCGATATCAAATCATTAACGCTCATTTCTTGGTGCGTTAAAAAATGACATAGTATACGAAATAAAAGCTTTTGTTCTTTGGTTGATAAACGAGATATAATCTTTTCTACTTTTCGTCGAATATCTTCCAGTGTCGTACGCTCAATAGCTGTAATAAAACAATAAAGAATAGAAAAATTATAAGTTAAGTAAGTTGAAGTAGTTGAGATGAAACTCAATTTTTAATAACAACATATTAAACTCGTAAAATGTCAAAAATATTATGTTTAGATCATTTTAAACTCACTTTCAGCAGGTACACCACGCTGAATTTTGGAAGCTGCATTTTGTAAACTTTTTATTCTTCCATTGTATAATTCAATTAATATTTTAGCATCCTCCTCCTTTATTTCTCGTTTTTTAGTTAAATATTCCATTGCTTCATCTTTAGTCAAATCACCTATTTCAATAAATGATGAACATCGTGTTATACTACTTCGACCTAAATAGAACCAAAAAACAATAATCAATTGAAGAATTTTGAATTTAGATAATGAACAATTACTAACCTTCCATTTGTTCTGGTGTTTTTGTTCCGCTTGAAACAAAAACTGTTACGTAAGCACTATTATCAATTGCATTTTTAGCATTTTCCTGAAATATTTTCAAAACCTCTGGCTTGTTTTCAGCTAACAAATTAACATTATCAATAACAAGCACAGGAACAAGTCCAAATTGTTTCTTAAATTTATGGGCATATTTTTCAAAGCTAAAAAGGTTAAAAAGTTTTCCAAATTAACTTTACACAAAAGTTTATGTACCTGTCTAAGACTCTTTCCCAACTCTCCTGTTTACCTGAAATAGATAAGAATGATATTAAGTTAAAACATACAGGAAAAATGGATGCAGAGATAAATCGAACTAATTGTGATCAATTTTTTGGAAAAAAAGGCAAAATCGAATATAAATTCTGTTCATTTAATCGTGTGTTGCTTGCAGCAGGAACAGCACAAATAAACTACTTAAATCTACGTGCAATGCAAAATAATATTTCTCATAACAATATAACAAATACCTTTTACAGCTAGACAGAAAAAAAAGACAAACAATAAAATTAGTAGATAATTCATATAATCAATTATGAGTGTATTCCAACTGTATTGTATTCAAAAATTGATTATAAAATTCCAAAATTCTATTTTAGACTATCACAACTAACAAGCAGCCGAAAATATACTTAATAGTGATTGAAACTGTTTACCTTCGTCAGGCGGAGCACCGAACATTTTGTTTTCAATCCATGTAGACAACTGAATGTTTTCTTTGAAATTAAAGTTGATAGCAATAGCAAACATGGAACCAAATTTATCAGTATTAGCCGGTACATCAACATAAATTACACCTTGTCCAATATCGCGACATGCACGACGAACCAATGTTGTTTTCCTATGAATTTAGATATTAAATTTAGAACTTCGATTTAGGACTTATTTTTGTTTTTACTTACCCTACTCCATGTTGGCCCAAAATGACATAATAAGAGCTAACTAATTTGTCTTCAACAGGTCTCAAAATACTAACTAATGAGTCAAATATTTCTTTCCGTTCGATTAATTCTTCTTTTTTAATTTTAATATTTGGACAAGAACCATATTTAAAACTTTGTTTCACATCATGAGCACTTTTAACCTGAGCGCCAATAACGTAACCGACGCCACACGTTACCTTTTAACAGAAAAAAGTACATTCTGTACAGTTAATAGTTACAAAGAAAAAGTATCATTTTAGGCACTTACTAGTATAGCTATAGAGTTAATCTGAGAAGGCATAAACTTTTTCACAAATTTTTCCACTAATGATAATCGATCTAAAAAATTAGTTTTCAAAGTTTCAACTTTCAACAAAAGAATGCTTAAATTTCACTTACTCCACTCTTCTGTTTCTTTAGCTCCTTTTGCAGCATCACTGCTACCACCACCATTTTTTGGAGAGTCTTTAGGTTCGGATTTTATTGATTTCTCGACAGACTAAAAATAAGTAAATACAGATATATGAAATAAAATAAACATCAAGATCAACTAGTTTCCTACTATTAAACGTCGTTTTACAGTACGTTCAACAACGGGACGAATTTTACAACGTAAAACACTGACTAAAAACATAAACTTAGTGTTCTTAAAGAAATTCAAATCATCTAAAAAAATAGGAAGACAAATAGATAAAAACGAAGATTGCACAGTGAGTTCCAAGACTATCTAATAACCTTTGTATTCCGTAGATTGTAATAGGTAAAAAATACAAAAAATGATTTGATAAAGTCAGAGGATTTCAGTCAGAAGCGATACAAATGAAAAACTCCATAAAGATTGGTGAAAGTTCGCCTTTTGAAAAACGAAGTCCAAATAAACCATTTTTCATCGCTAATAGTATCAAAAACTATGAAGACTTAAGAGGTGAAAGACTAATGGTTGAGAAATAGATAAGTCCATATAGTTCCAGTGTGATTTGATTTATTATGTGGACTCGTTTCTCTATCTCAAATCGTTTAATGTGTCAAATTAAATTTTTTTCTTCCTATTCAGGGGGTGTGAGTTGTTTTCTTTCTCGAAACATTGATGTGTCATTGACGTTTAAAAAAAAGTCACAGAACAGAAAAAAACTAGGTTGTACTTGGACAATCAGCGACAAAATCTCATTAGGCTTCTTTACCGTCATAATGCTTACTACTTTTAGGTTTTTTATATTACAGTAATGGAATGTCTTATTCAGGCGTCAGTAATGTGATACCATCATCACACTGAACTCAACTTATTGGGGTGATAATATCACAGTAAAAATGCAATATTGTCACATCTGGATGACAACAAAACCACTTTAACTGTGACATAGTTTTTTATTCATTGGTTAGACTTTTTATTAAAAGTATGATGAAAGGTAAAAAGGTAAAAGTAAGATGTAAAAACAATTCACTATCTATTCTTGTTATGTATAGATTCGATCCACTTTCCTGTAAGTACTTACCTTAGTGAGTATGACTTTTGTTTTATCAAATTTATTAGCAGACAGACGATAAAAAGAATATAAAGAAAATATAAAGGGTGTTCTAGAAGTTCTGAAGTAATTTTAAAATGCATCATTCTAAAATTACTTCAGAACTTCTAGAACACCCTTTATACAATAAGAACTATGAACAGAAAAGAAGTTTAATTTAATTTCTTTTAGTTTCTTTTGATAAACTTTATTTATCTATTTCTAAACGTTTCGATTGACTAGCTCAATCCTCATCCGATACAAACAATTGATTAAATTAAATTAAATTAAATTAAAATACACAAATTGGACAAAATTTCTTTCTTTTAAATAATACATAGGAACTCCTAATACATACATACATACAGTAGATGACAAAAACGGTACAGAACAGCTTTAACTTTTCTTTTTATACTAGTTTTTTCTTCTTTTCTATCATAACATAGAAAACTCTTGCTTGTACAAGTTAAAAATTTGAAAAGAAAAAGAATAAGAAAGAAATTTTCTACATGTTTGATTCCATCTCTTTCTTATTCTTTTTCTTTTAAAAAGAAAGGAAAAATCTTTATCTATAATTATAAAAAAAGTTGATAAAACCATTATGATCTAAGGAGATGCTCCTTGAAGCTACTATATGGAGCAAAGGGGAACACTGAGCGTGCACGCTTCGAGTCTCATATGGGACTCTGGAGCTCGTTTCGCGACAAAACGTAAGTCTGATTCCAGTATGAAGTTGACTTAAGTCAAATTTAAGTGAAGAAATAATATAAAAATCGCGTTTCACAAAAAGACTTAAGTCTGATTTTTGACTCAAAATCAGATTTAAGTTTTTTCATGAAACGAGCTCCTGAACATAGCTACCACCTTGTCCGGATTTCCCGGACAAATTTTTGAGTTTCTTTTCCGGATTTTGAGAATTTTCTGCTTTTTCCTGATATGATAAACAAAAGTGTATGTCAACAGAACTCATTGCAGCTAAATCGAAAATTTGTTTAAATTCATCGTTATCATGTACTTATATTTATAATTATTTTTTATCAAAGTCAGAACTATAAAGACTCATTCATTTGGGTCAAAAATATACATTCAAAGAACAGCATGTCGATTAAAATCGAAATTTATATTTATGTTTGTTATTTTTTTGTATTTTATCGAATAAAATCATATAGAGCTAGAGAAGAAATCTTTTTTATAACTCTGCACAGTAGAAAAAGGTTAAATACGGCAGTGAAAATAGGTTTCCGTTTTTTCCGGATTTCTGACTTGTGGATGGCAACTCTGCTCCTGCACTGTAAATTTGTGTTCCATATAAACGGGTGACATTTTGTGTGTCATCATCCATCAAAGTGGGTGATTTACCTTTGTTTATCACTCATCACCCAGTTTAGCAGTTCAAAAGTGTTATTCAACTGGGTGACCGGTAATTCAGTTTTATAGGTGACACTCTCCACAAAAATGGATTACCGGTCACCCAGTAGGATAACTTTTGAACTGCTAAACTGGGTGATGAGTGATAAACAAAGGAAAATCACCCACTTTGATGGATGATGACACACATAAGCAGGTGAAAATGTCACCCGTTTATATGGAACATGAATTTACAGTGTGAACTCTATGGGTAGCATAATTCCTCACTTTATTCGACAATTTATGGACCTGTTATATTGATTTTCTCGACCTTTCTACTGTGATAGAACCAGTCGATCATCACAGATGGAGTTAGATTATGAGGTAAGTTTGTTAGACCATATGATCAGACTAATGAGCGATGAATGTTGGATAAAAAATCCGTAAGTATATTAGAATTTGTTGTCTAAAGTAGCACTTGGTAGTTTATTGATAACGTATGCATTTTAGATTTTGAATTTGAGTGATTTGTCGTATTATAATAGCGGAAGAATATTTATATAAGTAGATTATACAAGTTGTACAATACAAGATAAAAAACGTGTGGTTGGACTAGCATCGATGTTTCCAATAAGATGATGTACGCATTTAAAGAAAGTGTGCAACATTCCCGAAAAATTGCATGCATATTCTGTTTTTAGCTAAAAAATGTGCAACATCCACTGGTAAGCTCTGAATGTACCCTTTGCTCTAGTATCTCACGACAGCACTGCTAGTAAATGACCTTACATCCGTACTTGAAAAATGCCATGTCGAACTTTGAAGTCTAGCGACGGCAGTCATGTAATTGCGTTAGGCAAGATTCTTTATGCTCGTTGGCTCGGTGCGTGACCTACATGAGAACGTAATGGAACTTCATCGCTGTTCAGTTTGTCACGGGTCTTCTAAAACTAATTTAGAGGTCATGCAGTAAAAACCATTCGTATTTTAGACAACTTAGATTGTTTTACAGCAATTTTCTGAACAAAATCTCTGAAAAATTTTGTTCAGTCTAATTATGGTGGATTGGATGGCTTACGGACTTCAAATAAACAAGTTACAAAATTTAAACAATTGCCTACTTAAAAGCTTAAGTGAGCTCGAGAGGAGACTTAAGTTAAGTAATGTTTGAAAAACACACTTAGCTAAAAAATTTTACTTGAGACGACTTTTTCACTCAAGTCTTGCTTAAGTTTTTTAAAAAAACTGGTTCGGAAAATAAAACACTCGTTCTTGTTTGTATAGAAAAGTATATGATTCACTGACTATCTTTTGTTCATTTGTAGATATTGAAGTGATTCTCTCCCCAAGCCGACTTTCTTGCTTCGGCCGTTAAAAGTTCGCTCTTGCCGCGGTTCGACCGAGATCAACTCTTCTTTTTCAAAAAATTTGGAATTCGCGATCGCGATGCGACAATTTTTTCTTACAGCAATCCCCTTCTGGTCACAGAGTCGCGCCGTGATTCGCATCAAGACAGGTTATTAGAAAAGCTTCGAAGCCGTGCCACGATTGCACTTTTCTTTACAGCAGACTCAAAGTATATTCCAACTGATTTTTGAAAAATTCTCAAACTTTTGTCGCATCTCGGCAACGATTCGTCGTATAGTCGAGTCGGCAAATGCTAGCCTTGACATTGGCTTAATCGGAAATTTCAATTATGAGAAAAACAAAGGGATAAGAGTGGCGGTGAGAAAAAGTGGTCTTGCCATTTAGTCGCGTTCACGGTAAGAATATCGCGACTCACTTTCTAATAGTGAGCGGAATTACAAGAAAACAGTGATCGCGGTGAAATATTTAAAATTCGCGAGTGTTTTTCGTATGAGCCCGACTTAACCGCGATCGCGGAAAATCGCGTCTTATTTGGCGAGTCTTACAGTGAACGCGCTACGCATTTCCAACGCGAATTTTTTTTGCGACGGATGGTGAGAAAGTTGACTTGAGTCTCATTTATTCAGAAAAATATTGCGCAAATCCACCTGAAGAAAGGCGGTAACTGTATGTAACATGTCCAATGTTTATTCATTTTGGTTAGTACCATCACAAGAGGTAAGAACTTCAGTCTAATTTTGTTGATTCATGAAATCTCTATATTTTTTTTCTACTCTCAGACTTGTGGGAGGTTAAACAATGATATTGAAACGTTATCTTCTGATCTTGGCTTATCACCATATCAACCACATATAACATTAGCCAGTTTCACGTTCCCATCAGCTGTAAATAGTGAATCCATTTTAAATAATGTTATATCATCCTATGAAGAGCAAGTTATAAGTCACAGTGTTATTTTCTCATTGAACGGTTATAAATTGGTATCACATCCTGTTGATTCACAGAAAGCAATTGTCTTATTAGTTAAACTAACTAGTGCGCTGTCAGACATACAAACTAAAACACAAGATTTTATTGATTCTGCATCACCTGTTTGTAATGTATTGGATTCACCGTTTATTCCACATCTCTCATTTATACACGACACAAAAAATTCTCTTAGTGGTCTCCAACGTGACTATATTATTACACACAAACTAACTCGTGATAAATACTTTCATTACGAATTTGAGATCGATAGGTTGTGGCTGATGGATACAAGCCACCTTGCTGATCATGAACAATGGATTTGTATTAAGAAATGGTCTTTTCCAAACAGTGCTTACAATACATCATCTATAATTATGAAACCATTGCCATCATTAAATGTTGAAAATCTTGGATTATCGTATCATGAACCGTTTCTTCAACTATGTTGTAGATTAGCTGAACAATCTGTTGCACATGGAAATCATCCATTTGGTGCTTGCTTGGTCTTAGATGGTTATGTTCAATTGACTGCTGAAAACAGCGTATTTGTACCAGTTAAAGACGTCACTCGTCATGCAGAATTGAATCTAATTAGTGCGAGTACCCAACAATTAACGCCTGAAGAATTATCACGCGCTATTTTATATACGAGCTGTGAACCGTGTATGATGTGTTGTGGAGCCATTGTCTGGAGTGGTATTAATTTTATTGTTTATGCTATGTCACATGAGATGCTAAGTGTACGTATAGATTTTAAAGTCATTTAAAAGATATAAAAATTCATACTGATGTTTCAGAAATACGCGGGTGGTAGTGGTTTAAAGTCTGCTCGTTCATGCCTAATGACTAGTTGTAACCGTTCATTTACGATTATTGGACCTATACTAGAAATGGAAGCATCCAAAATACACAAAACGTTTTGGACAGATAATAGTCAAACAGATTCCACTTTATGATTGAATTACAATGTTTAACTTTTGAAAAATTATGGGCTATGCGACTAAAATAAAAAATACTTCAACGTCAGAGATGAACTGTCTTACGTAAAGCTTGGAAGATCGACTGGGTGAAACGGTAATCAGAGAAAGTTAGAGTGCTCACACAGCTTTGAGTTATAAAGAACGATTGTAACAATGTTACATGTGACCATTGATTAAGTAATTTCTTATTCTTACTCTTTACACTATGTAGTGTGGTCATTTTTATATCAGTTATTAATTGATACAAAAATTATTACACTGCAATGGCACGGCAGAAGCCGAGAAAATATGAAGTAGTTCTAAGACGTCAAGACGATGATGTTTTTGATATGATAAACTATGGGATCAGCATGTTCTAGAAGAACTTTTGAATTGTGTCATAGGTACAAAAGCAACAAAAATTGAGCTAACAGTACAAGCGTTTCAGTATCAACAAAACATTTCGAACAAAAATAAACGTTATATTTATGAGCAATTCGAAACAACATAGGCGAATGAAATTCATTTTGGCTTTTTTAAATAATGTTTATCAGCTCACTCTTTATAGAGCATAAAATTTCCAGGAAACCAAAGTAAGTTTGCGGTGTTTTTGTATTTTGTTGTACAGACGGTGCTTATATTTTTTCTATTAAGAAATTATGTGAGGTTTGCATAAAAAGAAGTAAAATTTATCTTTATGGTATAGTTAATAGAAAGTTAGTCTGTTGAATATAATGTCATTTAAGTAAGTGGTATGTCTGAGCTTTATAACTGTCATATTTAATCGCTCCAAATATTTTTGATCTACCAAATTGAATCCATTTGACTGACAGTCCTTGCTTTTTTAAAAAATAGATCTGATTACATTTGGCACATTGCATATATTTCAGTTGTAAGAGACTTCCGTTAATATGATATTAATTTCTTCTCTGTATTATCATGCAAACTCTTTGCTTGTGCAGTAATTTTTATCTTCTCTGCTCTGTTGCCAGCCCTCAGTAGTATCGCTGCATTATCGGTGGTTTAATCCAAAGAACGTCGCATCTCCACTTACCATACCGAATGTTACATTTATGCTGTTTTGTTCAGCAACAGCTATTCGATTGTTACCAGTGCTCTCTGCATATACAAATACAATATCATTCTGTGCTGCTTTCAACTCTTTTCCACTATAATCCACAATGAGATTTATTGTTGGAGATTTTGGAGGTGTAAATCTTAGGGTTTAAACTATCGATTTGCCGTCCACATAGTCAATTGCTGTTAATGTCCCTGGTTCGTATTTTGTGAGTTAAAATACACATGATGGATGAACGAGATTTATAGAAGACACATCTCGATCGGGCTTCTTCTTGGAAATCTGATTCTTGTTTAAATCAGTTCAACTTTCTCATAGTTACTACAATTTTAATCATCTTTTCCGTTTTACCAATAAAATAACTAGCGAAGAAAATCATCGGTTTTCCGAACGATAACAAAGAGATAATTACAGGACCATTTTGATCTTGAAAAAAATAGAATGAGGATTTTGGTAATCTTGTAGGTTATTGATTTATTAGACGATTGTACCACGCGCCTATATGGAAGTCCTTCGTATATAATGTATAATACGTGCACATCGTCACTGTATCCATTATACCAGGTTATTGAATATGAGTAGCGTTTTATTATCAAATATAAGCCAATTACCATCTGCCACTGTTGTTCTACCAAACATATTATTATGTGGCTCTTCAAAACTATTATAGTAAACGCTTTTGTCCAAATTAACGTAACTGACGTGAACTGTCTTCACTTTTTTCCGATCTAGAAGATGCTAATTGATTATTGATTCCATCATCTTGAGCGTAATATTCCCAATATCCATATTCGGCTATATGCAGTGTAGTTAAATGATTTTTCTACAAGTGTTTAAAAATGCTGTTAATCATAAATAATGAATGCAACGGACAAAATTAAATCATCTTTTATTTTATATGCATCACGGTATGTAGCATTGCTAAAGAGTGCATTTTCAATGTAAGGATATTCCTGATGACGGTTCGTCCCAAAACTCTTCAGCTTATTTCCATTAAGATAACAAGTACGATTACTAAAGTGAAATGTTCTTACATCAATGTTTGAAACTGAACTGTTCACAACTTTACCATTGTAAATTAATTCAGCATTCAATGGTTGTTTTAGTAATAATTATGGATATTAGAGAGATATGCTGATTAAATGTAACGTATTCATTTGATCTAATTTCTGCTACTCGATTGTCGTTCTTATCATTTAATTAAACGTTGATTTGTGCACTTTTCTGAATTATAAGATTACTTTTTTACTTCAGTTTGAATTCTAATATCACTTCATTTGCACTTACATTCTCATAATAGTCGAGAATGCTTCCACCTATCTTTCAATAAGCTCCTGTGACGTTCGTTATGTAAAGTTTATATTTAATAATTAACATCTCTATTATAGTTTACTATAATAATAGAAATTAAGTTCTTCTAGAAGTTTTCCTAGTGGTATTGTGGAGTTATCTGTATTATTCAATGATTATCAATACATTTAAACGATCTACATCTTTTGAAATATCAATAAGAAAAGGAAAATAATTATCTAGATGCGTGAAAAAATATGCTTTCCATTTAAGCATATATTCGCATCATACATGGCACTTGCCACTGATGTGCCATTTTCTCAATGAATTTGAGTCAAACAGTATGCGGTAACAATATTGATTTCCAACCTGAAAATTTTGTTAGAATGATATTATCATTAGTAAAGGACCGTTTATGATTATAGTTTTCAATTGTGGACAGAAAGAAATGTTGAACAAGAAAAATCATGAAAAAATTCGGTAAAACATAATACAAGTATTAGAATAATGTTCATTGTTGAAGCTTGTTTGAAAACAGTCATTGAAATAGAAAATTTTGAATGAAGATCTAATATGGAAAAAAAGTACAACGAACAGGAAAAATACGAAGCACCCTATACTTATAATCTAAAACATTGTTTGCTAAATATTGAACTAAAAAAACATGTAAAACGGAATACACTTTCACAAAATATACATCGGATTTTGGATGGTGTTGCATGATAGACAACTGACACTGTTTTTTCTGAGAGAAAATGGTTATTAACCCTTGTCAGCTGTTTGGGGTCCAGTTGGATCCACTGTGCAGTTTTTTGTTTGTTACTCGGCAGTATTCATCTCTTTCGAGCTGCTCTCTTTCCTAATCGTCAATCTTCTATCCATGCACACTACCTATATCAAGTCTCGTGAATGAGTCTCACAGACAAAAAACTGGAGTGTGAGTCCGCGCAGACAATCTTGGTGTTGTATTTACGATTTCCAGCTGTGCTGGAGCCGTCCTCTGTCGTCGTTTTGGTAGAGTAAACATTTTTCTACAAAATGAGACGTTCCGCAGCTATGAGCGAATCTTGATAGCCGATGTATACAAATTTTCCCGGATGCTACAACACCAGTTAAAAACTGGTGCATACCCAATTATAAAACCTTTCCCAAAAATGTCTTCTAAATAATATACGTTTACATCCCTTGCATCAGTATCAACATATTCACGCCTAGAAGGAGTATGATGTAGACCATTGATTCATACATGAAAAGCTTCAATCAAATGGTAAAAGCTTGAACTTGTCCTATACGTTCCCGTGCGGGTCCAACCGGAACCCTGAGCAGCCATGAAGTCCAAAAATGAGAACAGCTGTCAAGGGTTAAAGGAGAACACATGAATCATATAGCTCACCATACACAATGAAAGAAAAAACGTAACGCTTTGATAGGTCAGCTTGCTAAGAGTATTAGTCATTATTTTTCTGTAAACTATGCGATGATACTTAAGTAATGGAAGCATTCATTCGTGATTCATGCGAGATAATAATAATTAATAATAATAATGCCTACTAGACTTCTGCTCCAATGCGCGAAGTTCATATATTTTTGCTGAACAGGAATCGAAGTTCAAATACCGCAAATTTACCGTTTCTACAAATTTCAATAAACTGATAAAAAACTCGCACAGTCCGATCGATTCAAAGATTGAACTAGACCGGTTAATCGCTCGGTCCATTTTTAACTTTGGAATACCTGAACTTGTGCAGTTTCTGGCAAAAATCTGTAGCAGAGACGAGCTAGCGTTTACATATAATCAAAACATCATACTATAATATTTAATCTTTTGTTCGAAATCTAATTTCTTGCTGATGAGATGGATAAACTGAATCATGTTAGGAATGTGCTGCAATATGCAGTGACCCACTCTTAATATTAACCTACTATTAAAATTATCATTTTACAGCAAAAGCACTTTGAACATAAAATCGAAAGAATAATGATGTGGTATCGGCTTAAGCAAAAGAATAAATAACCAACAGTAAACAAATAAAAAGAAACAGTTTTGTTTTCTCTACATTTAAAGAAGAAAGATACTTTTTTTTCTTAAGAATATATAATTTTCCTCTTTAGCTACTTGAACTTCTTCGATAAATCGACTTTTTCGTACAACAACACTATAACCTACAGACAGATTGTTCACCACTGATAGTAGTTCTAGCACTTTACTGATGATTGAAGTATGTGTTTGTATAAACAGTCGTCCTATTTCCCACTATGGAATTATCAAGCAGGCTCAAATTTATTGTTTATTTGACAGAAACAGTTCAAATAACATGAAGTGATCACTTAATAAGTTGACTTAATGGTTTCTTGATCAATAGTGTAATATATGATAAATATGAATACTAAATCTATCTGTTTACTATATAGTCATTTTGATAATATATATATATTGAACAAAAAAACAAAAATGTTCAGTAAAAGACCAAAAAAGTGCCTTGAAATATATAGACAAATAGAGTTTGATACCATTCTTCTATGATGTAATAATCTTGATATAGAGAAAGTGGAAGAAGTGGCACGAGGATGGCTTCTTGATATACATAAATGAGAATACAATTGTTCACTTGAATAAATTTCTGTTGTTTTTATATAGAACTGATCATATATTATGTGAGAAAATTTTATTATTCAAGAAACATTAATTTGATTGACATTACACTCGAGAATAAGAGAGAAAATGATGTCATCAATTTTTTTTCGTTTTTTTTTCTTTTTTTTCAATTTTCATTTAGTCAAAAACTTATTCGTATATTTTTGGATTTAGAATTGTATAAATATATTCAAATTTGACATTATTTGAAGTGAGAGGTTTATTTCACCAAACAGTTTAATTAAATATGTAGATGTTGTCGGATCCTTTTGTTTTTTCTAATGTCTATATATAGGTATCTAATATTCTTCATAACGCACACGTCAATATTCATTTTTTATAATCATCACTATGTCGGTATTTTTATCAGGTTCATTGACCAACAGTAAAAGATCAATCAGTTCATCCATTATGTCTTATTTACATATAGAATATAATATGATGAATGGAATGATCGATTCTCATATTGTTCATTTGAATAGAATCCGTTTAATAAAAAGAAAGTTAAAGAAAAAATAAAATGTTCAAATATTTTTTTTACGGGAAAGATGTGTGTATATATATATATAATGTACAAGAAAAGAGGTAGATATATTTCGGCTTTAATCTACTTTAATTATACAAACTACTGATTGTCACACAATTGTGATTTTATTTGATAATTTTATGATGTTATTTGCTACACCTTCTCCCCACACGATCGATGTGATTTGGGCGTTGTTTTAGACTGTTTTGTCTCGCCGAAAGTAATCATTTTTTCGTGTGACTCTTCTTTTTCTTTTGTTTTATGCGAAATAGATATAACTTTATGAATCTTTAAAATTGAAGGAAAATAAAAATTTTGAAAGGTTTTTCTATACCAATAGTCGATTTAAAACAATAAGATCGATCCGTTATATATCATTTGATAATAAAATATTGAACTAATTTGTTGTTGATTTTGAAACATTATCAACATCGTATCTTTTAATAAACTCCCAACTTTTCACATAAGGTTAGAATTAGTCACAATTTTAAGACATTGAGAAAAGTCGGAGATGAACCGTTAACGATCATCATCAATCTGGAGTAGTGGTAAAAGCAGATATTTTCAGATTTAAGATTGAAAATTGAAACAAAAATACACTATTAGACTATTTTTGTTTTCGCTGAAGTTCAGTTAGAGATTTTTCGGTCAATAGGATCCGAATGTGTTAAATAATGAATAGTTGAATGTCATTTATTCTAGGTTAAAACACAAATATTTACAATACATTCTCAATTATTTTACTGTAAAAAAAAAATATCTAAAGTTCAAAATCTAGTAATTGTCATTATTGAATCGTGACTATTTCGATTGTCATCAATATTGTGTAGTAAAGAGTCTAACATATTTTTTAAATGAGAATTTGAACATGAACCAAATATTTCACTTGGATTTCGTTGAAAATATACTTGATTTACAATTGCTACTTGCAATTCATTTTCTAAAAATAAAAATTGATTCAAATTTTTACATTAGTAGATATAAAAATTTGATTTAAATAATAAAAAAAAACATACTTCGAGCCCAACGTGGTATTCTCTTTTTTGTTATTGTTTCTAAATGATGATCATTATATTTTTCCATTTCTAATACTGTCATATCATAATTATTTGAATCTAATGCTGTATCATCCAATGATTGTATTTCAATTATCGGTTTTTCTTGTTCTTTTGTTATCGATCTAAAATGTATATTAGAACAGACATTATTATAACTGTTGAAAATAATATTAATGTGTATTTTTACCTAATATGTACAGAATTTGTACGACGTAATATTTTCTGTTTATTCAATGCTTGAACACCCATTAATGGAGTACGACGAATCATTTTTGATGGAAGAGAAGGAGGAAGAGGCGGAGGAACAACAATTTGATTATTATCTTTATATAAAATCAAATCTTCATTTGTTGAAGAAACTTGAGAATGAATATTATTTGTAGACTAGAAAACAAAAAAAAAATAAAAATAAGATCGATCCATTATATATCATTTGATAGTAAAAATATTGAATTAATTCGTTGTTGATTTTAAAATATTATCAACATTGTATCTTTTAATAAACTCACAATTATTCTGATTGACCATTTATAAATGGATTTTAGTTTAAAAAGAATTTTAAAATAACGTTGATAATTTCCTCGAGGCATGTCTTTTGCTTTCTACTCTTGAACATAAATGAATTGCTCTTTTAAATTTCTTTTTATTTTGTTACTCAAACTTATTAAATTATTTTTCTCGTCTAACTAATTAGAGAGAGAGAAAACTCAGCATGAATTTTGATTATTAGAGTTACATAAATTAAACTTTTATCGGCATGAGTCGTGTCTGGCATCAACGATATAAATAGACACATAATCAATACGATAAACATATGTTTGTCATTTCAATGGCATTTTTTACAACTACTCAATAAATGAGGAAAGAGCATTTTATTTTTCTATGTCTTGCAGGCTTAATTTCAACTCTTTTGTTACATACAATTTAGAATAATAAAAATGATATAAAAACTTAAAGAGAAGAAAATAATAGTAAAGAATAACATTATTTTAGGAAACACTTGATTCAAATTCATCACATTAAATGATGGTTACAGTGTGTCTCTCGTGCCGTACACATAACGGATATTTAAGACAAGTTATTTACACTAATAATTTGTCTGAAATTTATCAAAATTTCACATTTTAGTGTATCAATATCTATACAAAAAATTAAATTTTACATACCTCAACTAAAAATCGTAATATACTTTTTCTAAAATAATGTGGTATTTTTTTGTGTAAATGTTGTTGATTGGTTTGTTTTGGAATTGATAATTTCTTTTTGAATAAATTTTTACGAAATGTTTTAAACGATGATGTTTGTTTATCATTTTCTTTTCGATTTGATACTAATATTTCGTGTGAACGTAATTTCATGATCAAAATTTACTAAAATATGGAATGAAATCATTGATCTTTATGGTGACAACGACATTTTTTATATCGATGTCTGATTGAACGTTCTACTTTTTTTTCTTGTTTTGAATAGTCTTTTATTTTCCCTTCTCCTTCTCCTTCTCTTCTTTCTGTTTTCTATGTATGGTCAATGGTAGAACGTTAGATTCATCACTACACTACTGTTTCCATCTTTGTCAAATGTATACGTTAGAAATTTTAATGGAAAAAACAGAAAGCAGAAACGAAAAAGAAGTGATTAATTCGCGTAAAATGGTAAATTGAAGCGACCAACTATATGTGATAGAGAGCAGCTCGTATTCTTCTGTATTTCTGCATCGCTAATTGTTCGAAATATGATAAGGTCACAGAGAGCGAGAAAGAGACATCGCCACACCCCAATGCCATTTTCAATATTTCTAACAGACAAGTGATTCGTTATTGTACTGTTAAAATGCCACCATGTTATTAAAATAAGGTGGAATACACGTGAAAGAGAGTGAGGTGATATTTTTGTCTCATTTTACCTGATAAGGTCTATCATCATGCCATAAATGACAAAGAGTAATGAAGAAATCTCTAGATTATGGAACTCACTTGACATCTCACTATGATTATTAGACACAGCCGTGCACCAGTTATGCAATTAGTTTTAGGACATTTAACAGAAATGTAGTAACTCAATAATTAAGACTAAGAATTATATAGACCTTTTCATATTTGTATTATAAAAATAATTCTCATGATGGCTGTGACAAAAAGAGGGATATTTTAAAATCATATAACTGGACATGATAACTGGTGCATTAGTTAATAACAGTTCATAATTCTTTTAAATTAAAATGTTCAAGTATTTACATTTTTGTTTAGTTTTTTCTATGAAATGAGATATTTCTTAAATCTCTACGACATATTTTAGCCGAATGAACATTCTGTAAACGAGTGGAAAATAAGTAGTGCATAAATTCATCTACTCAGCCTAATAGGATGGAAAAAAGTGTATAACTCGATTTGAGAAAAAAACAGTCTATAAATAATTAAGGAGAAACTTACAATTGATTTTTGGATCCAATTAAATTTTGAAATGTGCAATAATTGTAACGGCTCAATCTCTTTTCTGCGTTAGTATTACTAACTTAATATACGACTTTATTTATTAGTTTACGCATCGTTCGCTATATATATATATATATAGCAAACTGTTCTTTTACTGTCGTATCAGATATTTTGAAAAAATATGTTGTTATTCTTTTTTGACATATAATCTCTGAACTCTCTCTCTCTTTTCTTCTTTTTTATCATTAAACTGTCGCCATGTTCAACAATAGAACTTCCACTTTCTTGAGAAAAGTGTCAATTGATCAATAATTTTCATTGACTATACTAGATGATATGAAGCATTTCAACACACATCATAAAATTAAACGGTGTCTGATCTCTTCTTCAAGTATCTCTCTATCACTTACAATTTTGTGACAGCTTGTATTTTCACCAGTCAACACTTCTATATAACTGCCACAGTAGAAAAAGTGTTGAAGAAGATATAATCAAGAGTAGACTGTATGTCACCGACACTTTCTGTGTATTATTATTATTATTATTAACATTAAAATTACAAAATATAATCATCTTCTTTTAAGCCGTATGTTTATTTAACTTTTTCTGTCTAAAGATGGCACACGCGATATTTTACACATATTTTAGACTGATGCAGTGAGATATGATCAAGAGCAATTTTTGTTACATAAGAACATACATAGAATTGCTACTACATCAAACAGTGTTTGTGCATTATATAGATACTGTAACAATCAAAGATGAAACGATGAGTACAAAATGCAGTTTTTTCTTTGCATTTTACAAACTGTAACAAATCAACGTTTGCGAAAGTGTTTGCTTTCGTTAGAAAAGTGAAAGTATGCGGCAAAATGAGGATTTGGGTCGATTTTTGACTCAACCTTTTCTCATCGACCGGAGAGCATTGTCTCAATAGTTTATGAGATATATGGTACAACTGGAAACGATATAAAGAACAGTCATTTGTTCACGAAGTAGAAACAGTGTAAATGTGTCTATTTTAACCACGCCTTTTAACTTATTTGTAGAAGTGATTATGTAAATGAGAAGACAAATTAAAAATAAACATACACATGAGTTCAAGGGAAAAAAGAGATTCGTCTCATATGTTTATTCATGACACAAAACTAATTATCAAACAGTATATTAGCAGTAGGTAATTTAAAACAAATATAATAAAAAGAACGGTATGATAAGTCGAACGATGTGGATCACAGACAAATTTTACCCATGTGCATGCATATTCTAGAAAGAAAGATCCAGCAAGAGGACAGTTAGTAAAATCAAACGAAAATGAATAGGAGCTATTTGTTGCTCAGAAGTTGAATGATATCATTGATCAGTTTCTAATCAAGATGATTTGGAATTATTAACATGAGACCTCTCATAGAAGTGAAGGAACTTTTCTCAAATTTCAACAATTGCTTTTCAACAGCTTAAACTTTTTCCAACATGCTCATACTTCTTTTAAACAATATTTTCAAGGAATTTTTAAAAATTAAAACATTCTTTAGTATTTCATTGACTAAATATTTCGAGGAATAAATGAAGAGATGTCATTTTAGACTCATGAAACGTTCTCCATGGGTAAATTTTCTTTATAGTGAAACTGATCATGTAATGGATCACGAATGTGTTTCTTTATTGGTCAGTTGGTCTAGAACAAAGTCGTTTGTTCTCTTATATTTATTTAGTTGTCTAATATAAACACTTGAACATATCATTTCATTTTCACGTTACCGATGCTTCGAGTTTTATTTATGATTAAGAGTAATCGCATGATTTTCTCCTTTTCATCTCTCTTCAAATAGATATATCCAATTAACGAACTGAATAATTATTGAAAATGATAAGCATCACTTGCTGTTTCAGTAAATATTATCGTTACATTTAGCTTGAAAAAATATGGACAAATCTGATGATGTGCAGGTGAGATGTTTCTTACTCTCTCTCTCTCTCTCTCTCTCTCTCTATGTGTGTTTGTGTTACTTCTACGCAGAAAATATCACTATTCAAAAGTTTTAAATGTTGATAGTCAAAAGACAAGATAAAAAATATTCATTATGTTCGAAATCGAGAGCAAGTTGTTTTCGTTACTGATGACATTTATATAGAAGAGAAAAGAAGAAAATTGACTTTAACTTGAAATGACGTCTTTATTACAGTGTATTGATGAACGATTATTGGCACGAGACTATTCAGTTTATACAATGAGAAAATAATCATTTGAATGAAAACGAACATTTGATTGATTGATTATTAGATTATTAGGTTTGTGTTCAAACGGGCAGTCAGTATTGTTCGTTTATATGCATAGAAAAAAATTAAAAGTATTCACTTGACTTTACATTATGTAATAGAAACTTGGTGAGAAAATGACAACACCTTTAAAAACAGGAAAAAGAAGAAGTTGAAAACGATTAACACGACATTCATCTCACTTAAATTCAAATTTAGAATCAATGAACAGCTAACTGAATATAATTAACATCAACACTGTTCTTACGCTATCAATAATAATACCAGGAAGAGAGATAAATATGCATATTTTTTCAATTGAGTATCATGGATATAAAAGACGAGTCTGTCCGAAACAAATGATCTTCCTTTCGTTCGGTTCCTTTTTTGCTCTCAATAGTTTGAAAAACCGCGTAGAACTAAACAATTAATTTTAGATAATTATCAATAAAATGATTTTTATTTTTGATACGATGCGTTTGTTTCGGATCCACACGCAGTAATTGCAGATGTTGTACAATTTGTTGACGATGTTGTAGAAGATTCTGTATCACCTCTTATGTTTTCAGATGTACACAGTCGACAAACAATGAGACTTTCTGCTTTGAGATCTTTTAACAGGCGACGCAGATTAAGGACACCCCACCTCTTTCATCCAATCGAATTAAAAATTTTACCAGAGGTACTCTAGGTAATATCACAGAGGTATTTTTTGAGAATTCTTTTTAAGATCTTTGCTTGTGGAGTTATAGGAAAAATACTGAAAAACATCTCAAAAACCAAGTTTTTCAATTTTAGAAACCCTATAACTCGGTAAAGAAAAGTCTAAAATAAAAATTCAAAAAAAATGCATCTGCAATAGTGTCTTGAGTACCTCTCGTAAAATTTTTAACCCCATCGGATGAAATTTAAGGGGAGTCGTAATGTGACAGAATGAAACGCGGTAGTGAAAAAATAGTATTCGCGAGAAAAAAATGCATTTTGTACACAGGTCACTTTTTTCAGGGCATTTACCGCAATACTTATATCTCCACGAAAACGCATCAAAAAATTCTGGAAAGCATCTCCCTGTGAAGAAAGCACTTTCTTCTATCAGATTATGTTTAAAAATAAATTTAGGATGTAGAGAAAAGGAGTAAAAAGTTTATGAAACTAAAAAATTGAGTTTTTTACGTTTTGAAGCAAAAACGTCAAAAATGCATAACTTTTTGAAGAAAGGTCGTGGAATGCTGGGAGCGGTCTCATTTTGTAGGCCACACTTTCCTCTAAATTAGGCCATGCTCAACTCAAAAAAAAATTTTTCAAAAAAGAGAAGAGGGATCCCGCCCCTCCAACTGACAGCAATAGCAAGGTTATTTGTCAAGTTAAACTTGATGCTAAAAGATAGTGATGCCTAGATCCTAACCATTCTTTTTCTTTAATTTAAGAAATATTTGCCATTTTGCGTAGCATTGAAAGTAGTGTAAACCACAAAAAGCTTAGTTGCTCAAATGAAAACAAAATTTTGTCCAGTAAGGACAGTCTAGAAGTTTAGGTCTGGTAATATAAGCTGTAAAATTCTTCGATATATCTGATGTACTTTTATTCTGATATAATTATTTGTTTGTCTGGTTTTTAATATTTAAAACATGGAAAAATATATTCGACCAATCAGGTGACGCTTTTTTTTCGAATTTTAATACGAGTCTTGATTTATGAGAATTAGTGTTTTAATTGCAACAGAATACAGAAATGCAAATTCTGCAAGGTATTCTTTCTATAGGTTGACTCAATTCAATAACAGATGATGAATTCGAGAACAGCTAAAAATCCCATTTTATTCTAGCGAGGTGCTGAACACTAGCAGTTTTATTTACATCATCTGTTATACATCCCCTCAGGTTTTCCCATTGTAAAGAATTGATATAATTATTTGACTAATAACATGAGAGAGAGAGAGAGACAGAAGAAAGAAAATTTTTGATTATAGTTTTCCGTTGTCTGGGTATTTCGTCTCTACAAATCAATCAATCATTGTAGTAAATTTTTCCAAAAAATATATATGTTCAAGTATTGTGAAAAAACGACCACGTCTCAAAAGAGATACTTTTCTTTGCAAACTCACACTCAGTCTTTGTATGTCTCCCTCTGATGTTATTTGATTTTGAAAAGTCAATTAGGCAGCTTTCCCTTTTGGGAAGTTTCGGAAAAAACTCATAGCTTAGCAAAACTATAATATGAATACGCAATTCGACGGCAAACTTTGTCTGGATCAAAATCGTGTTTTTTGTTTGCGGCGTTTCGTCCTTTCAAGAAATTTATGTAACGATGCAAAAGAAAGTGTTTATTTTCTGGGTCGTTACAAAAGAGTAACACCGTAGCACTGCAAGGTTGGAAAGTAGAGGTCTGCAAGGGTTAAAAAAACGTAACCCGAACCCTAGCTGTCTGTCAAAATGCCGACCCGAACCCGATCCAACCCAACAATATCTTAACCCGAACCCGACCCGATCCGATAAGTTTTCACTCTTTTGTGTTGTTCTTAAGCTTATGTCTTTTCATTTACCTATTTATTTAGCGGAGGCCATCGCATTACAGGCGAGTGACCTTTTGCTAATAGTGTGCTAATATTTCAGTAAATTTTGAACGTTATATCTTTCTAAATTCGCGATATCACCTCTCATAAAAGAGAAATGTTATCTTTGAAAATTGTGCGGTTTGGAAGAATATTGTTTTTCTTCAAGAAAAAAAGTTCAATAACAAGCGAATTTAGGAAGATATAACGCTCAAATTTTCTGTAATATTAGCAGGCTAGTAACGAAAGTACAAAAGAAAATTTCACTTCTTAATTCTTTGTTTTGACTTGGTTACAAAATTATTACTGTTACTACACACAATGTTCCTTTAGAACAAAAAAAATTCATAACTTTTGAAAGAACTGATATGGATCCTCGTTTAAGGGTTTTTATCAACTCACTTTCCTCTATTAACTGGCATAATATCATTAAAAACGGAGTTGGGCATCTGAAGATGTTGCCTCGTTAGGGAAAGCAGTTGTTCTAAAATAAGTATTTCAACTGAAAATTCCAGTTGAGTTAACTTTTCAACGAGTAATACAAAATTGAAATTATTATCTATATTTTAAATTGCGCCGTAAAATGTTGAATCCGCACCCGACCTGATCCGACAGCATCTTAACCCGAACCCGATCCGACCCGAGAGTCGGATCGGGTTCGGATCGGGTTGCAGATCTCTATTGAAAAGTAATAAAGACTGAAGCTTTGTAGTGTTTTTTCTATATGCTTTATTTTTAAAGTATAGAAAAAAATGCCTAATATCCGTTTTCTAAAGAATCAGATGGCGCATCTTTTAAAAGAAAAATTGAGTTTCTAAAATAAAAGGCGAAAACTTTATAATCAAAATACTAAGACGCTCATTATCTCTGGACCATCCGTTAAGTTGAACTTAACACAGAGTAACCATCATCGTTCCAGCTCTTCAAGATCAATTAAAAGTAGAAACTAATCACCACCGCTTGATTATTCAACAGGGTTGCAAGATGTTGTAATATATCACTACTAGCATCCTCAAAACAATGTCAACGAGCATCTGTTCGGATAGTTCCATTATAGTAACGTAACAAATTAAATTGTGTTAGAAAAATATCGAAAAGTTTGAGCCACATGAAAAGAATGAACTTTTGACAGACTCAGAGAGATACATGGTCATTTATATATCAAAAATCTTAGAATAGAATTAATTCTAAGATTTTGATATATAAATGATCCTCTATCTCTCGAAGCCTGGCAAAAATTCGTACTTTGGATGTGAATGTTTATTAGCTTTGTTATTTAGTTACAAAAATTGCTCTGAGTTTTTTTGTCCTATAAAATAAAATTATTAAGATAAATAATTTTGTTAGACGAACAGTTTAATGAGCTCCTGTGTAGAGATATTTCCAAGATGAAACAAAATTTATACATCAGTCGTTGTACAAAATTTCTTATTTTTTTTGTTATTCTACAAACGGATATGTGAGATATTGATCAATCGATTCAAACAAATTTTCATATTTTTTTTCTAAAGTATTCAAACTTGTTTATTTTGTTCGATCTTCGTATATGAAAGTATTTTCAAGAAAATCACAAATGGCATTTTGAAATGTGTCTTTCGATACATATGACGGTTTTTAGAGAGAGATTTCATGAGAGAACTATCTCGTTTTTTTTCGTTCTGTACCACATTATTTATCATTGACACTTTCTCTTTAAATTGTGAAATATTGGTATCTGTTAGTTTATCGTTTAGAATATCTCGCAGTATTGTCTCCAATGGTATTAGGGTTACGTCTGATAGTTGTTCACTTTCTTCATTCGAGACTCTATTGGGTGTTTCAGAGCCGTATGTCAAATGATTATTTTGTGTTATTATTTCTGGAATATTATGTTGATTACATAATTCCGCATCCGACGTTAAGGTCCACCCCCCACCCAAAAATCCATTTCTGCTTACGAGCATCCGATCTTAATGAAACTTTCAGAGATGGTGTATTTAGGTATGATGATCTCACAGTAAAAATTTCAGCTCGAAATATTAAACCTGTCAAGAGCTAGCTCACAATTAAGGTCCAAAAATGGGTCTTCGTCCGTCCCAGATTTCTCTGCCATTTTTAACGTTAGAGAGCTCGGGTTGGTTTTAAAATGTAGCTAAGATGTAGGGATACAACTTAACAGAGGCCAATTTTTTAATTTCTCTATAGTTCATTTTTTATAGAACTTTTACGTCACGATATGAAATTACTGAGGTGTAGGATCTCAAACATTTTCTCTTCATCTGACGTCAATTCTGAAATCGAAGAATCGGGCTCTGTTAAGTTGTAGTGGCAGGTCTTAGCTATGATTTAAAACAATCCCGAGCTTTCTAGCTTTCAAAATAGCGGAGAAATTTGGGACGCACGAAAACGGAAAACCAAAAAATCTCATTTTGAGAAAAACGCAAAATAACGAAAAAATGTCGTCTTTTCCGGTAGAGGTTTTCAGAAAAACCTGTGTGAAACCCTTAAAACCTATCGTAAAATTAAGAAACTATAGTGTATTCGATAGTGGACGTGATGCTCTATCAAATACGCTATTTTTAAAAAAATCGATAAATTTCACCAAAATAACCTTTTTCTGAGTGGGGGGTGGGCCTTAAATCGATATTCATCGGCAATGAATGATTGTTTAACATTTCATCGGTATTTAAACCGCAGTCACTATGTGATGTGTCGTTAAATGTATCTAATGATGCATGTCGTTCGGAATATGAACAATCGGTGCACACACAATAATTAAAATACGTCAATTCTGGAGTACTAGCCGTCATTGTTGTTGATACCTGCATACTATTTCTACCAGAGAATAAAATTGAATGTTTATTCTCATGTAATGATGATTTACTTAATTCTGAACTTTTTCGATAATCTGTTATCTTTTGTTTGTTCCTTGAAAAGCACACGCACTCAGATCTAGATTGACAGGAATTTTTTAGACGGATTTCTTGCCACCATTTTCCGAATATTTTATCAATACAAACATTATTCGATGCCATCAATGAGTCAACATCCACATTATTTTGTGTTTCCATATGACTCCAACTAAATACATTATTAAAATTAAAGACAGAACGTTTATTTTTCATGACATTTTTTAATTTGAGTGAATTAAATGCAAATTCATTTTCGGAATCAGTCTAAATGTTTTTCAATTGAATTCATTTCCACAGCATTGATCTGTTTTTTACCTATCATAAACAAAAAGTCATTGTTTATAACTTTTGCCGACTGACTTGTATATAACCAATTTCTTGTACAAGAATAGAAGCGATTTTAGTAAAAAAAATACAATTTAAAATGAAGGAAATAAAAGAATAATGTTGAACAGAGAATAAAAACATTGCATATAGAAAATAAGGGTAAATAAAATAGAGTTTATTTAGAGAGCAAAACGCATGCAAAAAGAAGATAATAGTTGATTGCAACACCAAAAATAATTTTATCATTCACAAATAATAATATGCGTAGAATTATATATTTATAGGTAATTTTTAACATGTTTAGTTAAATCTCATATCAGTTGTAGTCGGTTCTTGTCTTGGTTCTTGTTGTTGACGAACCAATAGAGAACCATGTTCAATTCCAGCATTAGGAAGAGCTAAACTGTTACCACCGCCAATATCAGTTGGATACGCAGTATCTGTTCCTATGCCCGCAGCGTCCACATCGCTCAATTGTGCGCGAGTTATTTGTGTCGCAGAACGAGGACGCGTTAACATAATCATGCCTTGTTTTTTTGATATATCAACGGATAATTTCGCATCTATCCTACCTTTATAAATATGTCCATCGTGTCCTTGAATATCAACTTCACTTCTACACAAACACGATAACAACATCAAAACTGCTATTTCTCCTTTTGTGAAATCTTACTTTGTCAGTGGTGTTTCTTCTGGTACTGTGGGTCTAAACAATACAGGAGCATATAAACAGAATGGTGAGAAAAAGAAAAAACCCTACTGTGTTTTGGCTTGACGTTTGAATGGCAGAGTCGTTGTATGACTACCACCACATTGTCTGACACTTGCATACACATCATAACCATAATCGCTGTTGAATTGTTGACTAAAATAACATTATATAAACATTCGAATCTCAGTAAAAAGAATGTAACCTTTTCTGAAACTGTCTAATTTGATCCAATTCAAATGTTGTGTATGGACGAGGTGATTGTATGGGTCTGATACCACGTTCAGCTGGCAAACTTGGTTGTGTCTCACGTGGTGCAACGTCGATGGGTCTATCACATGATATACAATGAAAACGAATCAATTGTTTTCGGAGTCCAGCTGCTTCATCTTCCGACATCATATGAACATGTTGTTGCTGAGTTTGCTGATCTTTCTTTAAACAAATGAAAGTTTTAGATATTAAAAACATTTTACTAGGAAAGAAAAGATACCTACAGCCATTTTTTTCAATTTTTTCAATTGTTTCTCAATGTAATCACGTAATGCATTCAATTCACCACGATCCAATTTACTATCGACATCACGCGTAATCTTTTCCAAATCTTGTTTCTGTACGTCATCCTAAACAAGAACAAAAACAAGCACTAATTAGTATCCCACATCTTGATTAAAAATCTCATTTTGCCTCACAGAAACATCTTCATCTTACGTGCGTATTGAATTTTTGTAAACAGTCATTGACACTCTGCGCGAGTTCACCGCAAGCAACATGAAAATCTTTTTTAAGAACGCGATTATCTAAATCACGTTTATCTGCTTTCTATTAAATAAAAATAAAAATAGGATAGCAAAACAAATCAGCAGCAAATAAACAGGCACTGATACCTTATCCAATTCAGTGTTAATATGATTTTTATCTGCTTTTATTTCTTCTAATTGTTTAAGCAAACGTTTCAGACTCTATAAAATGAAGATTCATACACCTAAATTGATGAAATTTGCTTTACACAAATACCTCAATGTCTTGAACGGATAATTTGGCATTATCAATTAACTCTTGAACAAGTTGTTTTAAGTTATCAATTTCTTCACGTAAACGTTGAAGAGCGGTTTGAAAATCTTGCATGGCTTCAGACGGGTTTAATGGTTGCTTTGCGAAAGAACAAGAATAAAATCAATGTTAAAGAAGCAAGAATAAGAGAATAAACATTTTAGCAACATACAAAATGTTGAAATTATGAAAAATGATAATTTTAACGAAAGTTAGAAATGTTTCGGTAATTATCGGAAATGTTTGGATTAATGTTATCGTTTTATCTTCTTCAGATGACGATGATGACACTACTAATGAATTGTTTCGTCACTGAATGTTAGTAGCGGAAAATACGAAAACGACACAACATGCAAAGAAGAGTTAAGCATACACAAAGGAACAAAAAAAGTATGTACATGTGACGTAATTGTTGTTTTTTGTATCATGATGTGCATGGTATGTAGAGAGGGGAAATGACATAGATGATACCTGTTGTTGTGGTTGAACCTCTCTAATTATGGTTTCATGTATAATACTTGAAGGAGGTTCTTTAGAAGAAGTCGAGTGGATCGGAGGAGATGTGACTGTTGGTTCCTGTGAATTCAAATATCATTTTCATTGAAAGTTGTACGTGTAAATAATTTATTCAAAGAGAAGAAAAGTTTAGAAGCCTTTGTTCAAGAAATTAATTATGAAATGGTAAAAACTGAACAAAATCTGCAAACACGATGAAATAGAGTCATTAAATCTTACATTACATTCAATTCTATTACAATCTAAAAATTCTTGTTCTTGATCAGTGAGTTTTGTTTTTGTACAATCTTTACATTCTAGCGTTTCCTCTTTCCCTAATTCGTTTAGAATTGATAGTCGATATTCTAAATCCGTATTAGTATCGACTCTAGTTGATCGTTCAACAACTGACTCGTTCGACAATGAATGACATACATATAAATCTGAAGCATTAAACTTTGATGTAAATAGAAGTTCAATTAACAATTCAAATAAATCTTTTATCCATTGAAATTCTCTAAATATTAATCAGAGTTGTCTCTTGATATATAGAATTATACACATCTTTTATCGATCTCACTGAAACGGATTTAAGTCTTAATTATAACTATTTTTTCTATACTCTTACTGTCACTTTAAATTAACCAAGAAGAATAAGACTATCAAGAATTTCATTTCTCATAACAATTCTAGAGATAGTGGATATTGTTGTATCTCAGTTACTATTTATCAATCAATGTACCTCAATAATATTTTACGTAAATTTTGTTCATTCATTATTCGAATTTCATGATGACATTTTCTTAGTTTATAACCCAAAATCTTCCAATTATTATGACTTGTTTCTTTGCTACTGGTTTTCAAAAATACAAGTTTTTCTTTCATAGTATCAATTAACGTTAATGACTAGAATAAGAATCATTATTTTGTTGAATATTGTCTGAGTACAGTTACTTCAATTTATTTCCTTCATTTGATGTACGAGAAAAAAAATAAGTTAGCATATTGCAACTCAAGTAATGTTTGCTCATCGTTCATTCTATATATAGAAAAAAAAAAGGTTCGAGAAAATTGTAGGTATTTTTTACACTTTTTTTTTTCTTTTTTTTTTTATTGAACATCAGCTTTTATTGGCATAGATAGATAACTAGGTCGATGATAGATGTTTTTTATTTTACTACTAAATTTTCATATTAAACTCAAACACGATAAACTCAGAAAAAACCTGTCAAGTTAACATAATTCCAACATTTATTTCAACACGTTCAGTCAATTGACTCATGAAAATGGATATATGTAAGTTTCTCAGTGTTAAAATTATAAGAATTAGCTTGAAAATGTATGCTTCTGTAGAAGGCTATCTGTTAGGATAGTGTCTACTTCGAATAGAGAAATTAAAAGCTTGCTGGAATCTTTATTCTACCTACGCAATAATCAGTAAATAATTTTTATTCTTTTTGTTTTTCTTCTAGTATGTGTTTTTTTTTTGAGAAAATGTCAGTGTATCCTCAGATATAAACTACACCATTGATGGTGTGATTGATGAGAATCTTTTATTAACTTTACGCTTTTATCTGAACATCTTTAATTCTAAATTGAGTACTCTAATATATAATAATAGAAATATGTCTTTCTATTTTAGTCAAATATATTTTTATGAAACGAAGTGAGAGAATGGTTTCGTGAAGACCAGCATGATTCGTATGCGGTTATTTGAATCGTATTATGCTGTAATTTCACGAAATCAAACTCTCCAACATACGATAACAGAATGACAAATTTACGTTCAATTCTTACTTTATTTCGTTGTTGTAGAAGATCATGTAATTGTTTTTCAAGCGCTTGTATTTTTTCATATAAATCTCTGTTTGCTTTAAATTTTTCAAATTCGTCTCGATCAAGCTTTTTATCCTGAAAAACAAAAAATAAATAGGATAAGATTGTATTCCAAACTATTAATATACCTTTAGACTTTCAACAATAGCACTCAATTGTTCATGCCGTTTATTTAATGTGCCCAATTGTTCCAATAAATCAGCTAAAGTTTTTGATGGTGTACTACCGGACGATATTCTGGGGGTCGATGTTTCATCGGTCGACGTCGTGACCTAAAAGGATGTGACTTTATTTGTGAAAAGATTATCGCTTCATCAATTTTATGACAAGTATCCCAATTGATTTCGAGAAAAAACACAAATTGAGAAGAAACAGCTTTTAAAATGAAAATAGTTGGTTTTTACTCTGTCTTAAAATGAAACATTAAACTATAGTAGGAGCAACTAGCAATAAGCAAACACTATCTTTTTGATACCATCATATTTTAAAGAATAACGCTCAGAACAGATAAGTGAACATAAATATATAAATTAACCTAAACTGTCTGGCGATATCCTTTATCTTTATCTTTTGCTAAATATTGATATTTACTGAAAAAAATAGCTAGATTATCTCATAAAGTATTTTCAATCATTTCATAAACATAATATTATTATGTTTATTGTGTGAACAAAAGATATTCTATAGATGTGTCATGTTTCAGTGAGTTTTCAATCATTTCCATTTCTTGATTGAGAACGATAAATGTTTGTCTCTAATATTTAATGGATTTTCTCGTTAGTTTTCTCACATATGAATTTTCTGACATATTCAAACTTGTCATCGTTCTGACTTTCTTTAACATCGTATTCTACAAATAATTTCAGCAAAAAAAATGTCTGCACACTTTGTTAGAAAATTTTTTCTCAAAAATTAACAAAGGTGCATAATAAAGTCTGAAAGCGCGCGCAGTTTTGAATCAATTAGCTCTCGTACGTTCATCATACCTTAGATTTGATCAACTAGAAGATTTATTAACAATTTAGTAGATAACTGAATACAAAGTAAGATTATACTTTACTGGTTACTTACTGGGTGTCGTTCAACAATCGGTAGTCGAATTGCATTTCTTGCAGCTTCCATTGCGGCAGCTGATGATTTTTCGACTGTTTCACGTATACCTCGTAGTGCATCTTCTAATTTATCCCATGTGGCATAATTAGCTAAATCAATTGATTCCTCGTTACTGGTCGATTGCGATAGCTTATCTAAATCTTCACGTAATGTCGTCTAAAAGATGAAAGACTTTAGTCTTGCTGTCATATGAAAATAATGATTCACACAAGTGTGAACTGTGAAAGAAATCAAACAGAATCCAGAACTTCAAGAATTCAACTAACGAAAAAAACTATCTTCTTTAGATTTACACTGCTACTTATTTAAGACTACATTTACCTTTAGAGGCGTATTCATCCAACTGAGTCGATATTTCGATCACGGTCAATCAAGACCCTATCTCAGAGATATAATTTCTTCTGAAAAATATTACTTTGCTGCTGAGTTTTACATAAATCTGATATAAATGTTAGTTCAATTAAATAACATTTCAATGAGACTGTTGGATAAGATTGAGCTCACTAACAAAAAAAATGCTTTTCGAGAAAGAAAGCAAAACAAAGTTGACATTTATCTCGAGAATATAAGCATATCTTATGATGAAAGTTGGTACATCAGTCTTAATTCGTATATTTTGCTTTTCAACTTTTTATATCCCACTTTTAGATTTTTTAGAAGATTTTTCACTCTCTATAGACTTTAAGCTTTCACTTTATATATGCCACACATGCTTCTGCACATGTCCGTCGGATCCTAGACAAAATCTTACGTACTTCCTACCTATTTCCTATGATCTTGAAGGATTCTAGTAGGAAATAGGTAGGAACTACGTAGGATTTTATCTAGAGTTCAATCATTGCATTTTTTCGTACGATCCTAACGAAATTCTAGCAAATTCTACGACTTAAGCAGTATCCGAATACCCGTTGGAATACCCAAAATTTCGAATATTCCGAATTCCATTAGGATTCTGTAGGATTCTGTTAGGAGTCTATCTAAAAGTAAATCCTGTAAGGATTCTAGTAGAATGTCCTAAAATTCTATGGAGAAATGTATAAGTTTCCTAGTGGAGAGTGTGCTATGGTATATTAAATAAAAATCCACTCAAGAAAACTAGATGTGAAATATTGTATCCTGAGGTTAAAACTTCTTTCATGTTAAAGAGGATACTTGACTGTATGTAAATCAGTAAAAAAACAAAGAACAAATTTTTTATATTCTTTCACTTTTGAATGAATGGGTGTGTTTCAATACTAGTAAAGGGCAACGATTTTAAAATCAAATCTGATGTGTTAACTGCAGCTGACTTCATTTCAATTGACATAAAAGAACGAAGTCAGAAAGAGCTGCAGTTTACATTTCAGATTCAAGGGTGGATATAACCTTAATAATAAAAATTCTGTTCTTTTTTCATTGATGAACAGAGGTAAGATCTATTTTGCAAATATTAACTTTTTTTCACTCTTAGCGCCATACTTTGTAGAAGAGAGACTGTTTTCTCGGTTATCTGCCGGATATGAAATCACACTTTTGCCTTCATGGGATCAATCAACGGGATTCAGTGCATGATAATAACTATTTAAATAATCAACCGTGATATAGTGCTTGTTTGTGGGTGCCAAATACAAAAAACTCAAAAAATATCTTAAAATGTATCGTACAACATAGTCTTCCATGTTAGAAAGTCGCTCTTTGATCGTTTGAAATGACTCCTAAGTGTAGGTACATACTAGAGGCGAGAAGATATCATGCTTAATAAACGTTGTAAGAATTTTACACATACCAACGTATTTTGAAGATTGCGTATTGTCTCATTTAAATCTTCAATGTCACTTTTTTTTGCCTAGAACATAATCACATGTTAAAAATAGATTATCTACTTATATTCTATCACACTAACTAACCCAATCTTGTTTTTCTGTGTTCAATGCATCATACAAATTTTTCAAATCTTCTTGCTGTTTTTTGAATATATCCAGACCATTTTTCATTGATTCTTGTGACTCTTTCAAATCACTCATATCAGATAGTAAATCTTGTAGCAACGAGGCAAGCTAAAACAAATATTGCATAATTCACAATGAAACAAGTTTGTCACGGTAAGATCCGTCAGATTTATCCAAAAGTAATAGACGAATTACTGTTCCTATCTTACTCTAGTTATTCCATTTTCAGCTGATTCAATTCGTTTTTCTAATTGTGTATATTGCCATACTTCTAGTATTGGACCTTTATTTGAACTCTTCTTTTTTTCTTCACCACCATCATTTACTGTTCTAGGCGATGTTTTTCTAATTCCTTTAGCTTTTTCAATTAATTCATCATTTGATGGCATTTGATTGAATGCATCTAATTGACTTTCAAATCGAAATACTTTTTCTTCGATTAATGCTAATCGTTCAGAACTTCGATCACGTCTTTTTGGTTTCATGTTTCCACTATCTGTTGTTGTTGTTGTTGACTTGTTATCCTCGAGAATATCGAGTTTTTCAACTGATGTATCATCTTTGAATTTAATCTGACGTTTATCATTTGACGGTGATGATGTTTGAACACTGAGTGCTTCTTTCAATGATCGTCTATCATCGTCTGACATTGAATCCGGTTTATGATTAAATAAATTCATAGCTTTTAACATTTGTAATAGCAGAGTTTTTAATACATTAAAATTAACAGCTCCCACCTCCGGATCGCCCAACGAGAGATGCACCATCTGCTCGAGAGAAAGAGTTGCCGCATTAGCCATTGGTATTGGACCGTTTTCAATGAAACGTTATCTTAAAAACTAAAGAAAAATTAATCAACACCCACATATTTCAAGATCATTGAATAAATCGAAAATCATTCAAAGTCATATTTCAGAGAATAACGATGATATATTATTGAGAAACTTTGGAAAAAGGATATTTAGATGTTTTCCAAAACAAACTGCGTACATAGACAAATCATAGATATTTTTCTATGATTTTACTTCATGAAATTCTCAATACTTAGTACATCGAACAAGCTGTTGGGTGTAATCTTGATTAATTGAGTTATTCAAGCGAAAGAAGAGTTAATGATGTCAGCTAACAGATACTGAATTCAAATATTTCTGTAAGAATCTGATATCAATGTTTTGTTTCATCGATGTGACCTGAGCTCTATATAATGTTACTTTTGTTAAATACACATATTTTCCTTGGTATTACGTTGATTCCAAATGTATCAATTTTTAGCACCATTCTTTTTTCTTCTCATGCAATATTCCCTGTCCTATGTGCGTAATTAAGTTTTATGAGTCACACATTAAATGCAATAATACCGAGAATTCCATTCTTTTTATTATCTATGTGCGATACGAAGCTCTGTATTAGTAAAACACAAAATTTATTTTCATGGCATATATGTATATAAATTGTTAGAAAAAAAAAGTGAGTAAAAAGAAGTAAACTAACTATTGATTTTTAAATTCTTCAATAATAGTATACGCCTGAGATTACCTTTAATATACTCTAAAATACGAATAGTTTTTTAGTCTTCGAGATACCATAATCGAGATACCTATATGGACAATGTTTTACACTGTTTAGACGAGTCTTCCAAATTGAGACCAATTTTTATCAAAAAAGTGATCTTAATTAATATCCAACAAAAGAGGACGGCAACCCAAGTGATAGTGAGAGCGAAAAATAGTTGTCTTAATTACGAAGTAGTCTGTTTAGATTTAGCACCTCCTTAGCCAGCAACCACTAAAAACCCAAAAATAAACGCCTAAACTAATGATATATACTTAAACGTTGTCCTTTTGATGATTTATACTGCCTAAAGTTTTACATTCGGCGATCATTTGTTTGTCAAAGACAAATGCTAACAGGATACTTTTCCTTTATATGCGATGGGTGATGTGTCAATTCACTTATAAACTAATAGGGTGTGCATGAGTTTCGCAACAAATGCCAAGCGCTGTTTTTCCATGTTTCCAGTATTCTAGAGACTTGGTTTTTTATTAAACGAGTAAAGTCTGAACTACACAACGACATACGTCCAATAATTTTTTTCCTTATGAAAGTTCATTGATCAAAAATTCGAACACTAAACGTCACTAAAAAAAGGTTCAGATAAAATGTAAAACCTAGGTCCTCTATCTTCTTCGAACAGATTTCTTTTTCTTCTAAGGATAAGTTTGAAGAATTGTTAACTATTAAATCTAAGGGTGTTTGAAACGTTCCTTCGAGCGATATATAAGAAGTTTGAGTTTTATTCAGTTTTCGTGGAGAAATAATCATTTATCTGATCACCGATAGAAAATCAACCAGTTAACATTAATTTTGGAAGTAATAGATAAATTTATTTTTCAATATTTTTACACACATTGATGTAAAAATAAAATGCAATTTCAGTTAGTCTTTACTTGTACTGACCCAGTTGCTGATAGAGCTAAGTGTGGTACGCGAAATGTCGATTTCTGAAAAACTGTCTTTTAGAAAATGTATCTGAAAGCCCGCAAAAAGTGCCTTGAAAATCTTTTAACAAAATAAGACCGATAGAGTTTTTCAAGGGCTATTTTTTCATGTATTCAGTTTTAATAAGAAATGGTTATTTTCGTATCTTGGTATGTTTTAGTAAAATTTTACCTGAACTCTTTTAGTGATGTTTAATATTTAAATTTTTTCTTAATGAAGTTTCATGAGAAAAAAAATTTATTTGATGTCTGTCGTTGTGTAGTTCTTTTAATAAAAAAAGAAACAAAACAAGCCTCTGGAATATTGAGAACATGGAGAAACAGCGCTCGACATTTACTGCGAAACTCATACACATTCTGTTACTTTTCGGAAGTCAAAAATGCATCGCATGCTAACTGAAAGATTTTTCCTACAGAAGGTTTTTAGTAATTTCCCCTCGTCAAGTATACTTTTGAATTCCACTTTACTGTAGATGAAAAGTTCTCTTTGGTGACTTAATGATTGAAATTGATTTCTATTAGTAGTCGATATAGACAATCTGACATATTTAACACCAAGCTCATACTTCTTTTAGAGGAAAAGCTTTCTTACTATTACTGTAGTAAATTGGTCGATACCTTCTCTTTTACGTACAAAATTTATTCTTGTCATTTTTGTTATTTGGCAAAATAATCTTATAATAGTATAGTATATCGTAGTAAACAAAGCAATATGTTAATAGAATAGAAAATCTAAGAAGAAAAAGGAAAGAAATCTTTCTTGAAGTATACCCTTGAATAAGCTACATTTCATTTTATTTGAAAGGAGAAACATTTTTAAAATAGTTTCATGTAGGCGGACATTTTTTGTCATGTGTATATAGGTGTATAAAGAGTTTCGTTTCCTTTTCTTTCTTTCTCTCCCTTTTTCGGCGTTTCTAAAAATCAAAATAAATGAATGTCTCGTTTCTTGTTTCCATTTATCGAGTTTGGAAAATATGTTTCCATCACTAAACCTTCACTAATATGAGAAAAAACAAATCTTGAGCAGATGGATCTTGATCTCGACAAAAAATTCAGTTTGAAAAGCATTTTTAATCAGTTCACATCACTAACGACTAACGGTAGATGGCGCTGGGTTCCTGGCGCAGAAACGTATCTCCCAAAGGCCAGTAAAGAATACCTGTAAATAAAAGATAGGCGAAAGAAGACTGATACATACACTGAAATACCAAATGTACATAGTACAGCTGAACAATCTCAAACTTTTTTTATAAAAGAACCTGAATGAGCTATAAAGTATGATGGATTTCTGTCTGAAACATCATTTGAAAATTCCAAAAAATGAAAAAATATATTTCCTGGGAAGACTTATTTGGCGAAGCTGGTAAATTATTCTTCCAATTCTTTGCCTTTCAGACCATTATTTATCCCCAATCAACTAGTTTTAAGTGTTCTGAACTAAATTATGATGGAAAATGAAAAACAAAGTATGACACTTAACAACGACTTGCGAAGATCATCATCGAATAGAAAAAGTTTAGTTGCAAGAAAAAAGGAACAATGGCTAAGAGATAAAAATCAATATCCGGAAAATAATAGTTTAACATGGACAGGCTATTTTGGTCGATCAGCACAGTTAAAGGATTTGCCAAAGTCACAGCAACAACAAGTGCTAACTCACGATAGCAACGCCAATTTCAATAATAATAACAACAATTTTCATCATTATTATCGGAGTAAACTACCGACAAATGCTAATTGTTCGTTAAGTAACAATATGCTCGATCCGAAAACACTCGCTAATATGAGAAAACGGACGGATATTCATCCATTAGATAATGAATTTAACAATTGCGGTCTAAGAGGTGTTCTCACTACAGGTACTAATAAAATGTACGATTTTTCTAGTCTGGGATTACGTCGACAAAAACAAGATCAATTACGAATGGAACTACAACGACAAATTGATGAAAAAGCTAGGAACTATATGTTAAATAATTCAATGATAAGAAAACCTAAAATTATTCATACGACAGACAATGATGAGTCAAAATCAAGGAGTAAAATTGTTAACAATGCTCACTCTGATAATACGAATCATAATGCAAAATTACCGACAGGGATGCAATACCGTTCACAAAATCATTATGATTCACATCCATCGACACTAGACAAGAGAAATCCAGTGGAATATGAATACGCTTCAGTACTACAAAAACCATATTTGTGTTCATCTGAAACTAATGAACAAGAAAACAGTTATCACATTTCCAATCAACAGCACCCACCCGTCTTAGACAAATATCCTACTAGAAGTGTCTCACATGACAAACAAGAAGGACGATTAAAACCACCGCTTCAACAAAACTGTGAAAGTTTAGTAACTTATCCACGAGACGAGCATTATCCAGAAACAAATTTAATACCCATAACGAGTCAACATTTACAAGTTCCACAAAAACCTGTAAGTGCAGTTTTTGAATTAAATTTATTTCAAGTCAATCTTTTGCTTGAAAATGAAACATGGCATGTGAACTTTTACTTCTCATATAGTCCGAACGTTCTGTTTTGTAGCACTGCGTCCCATCAAATAATGAACGGTCAAGTCCACGATTAACGTCCGTCCAAGGTCAATCAGCAGCAATAATTGACATAAATAAACCATTCACGACTCTATTTCATCAAACATATGATCCTATGGCACATATTCGGTTGAAAATGCGTCAGCGAGAAGCGAGAACATGGTTAGCATATGAAAAAATTAAAGAAGCACAAGATATGGCCGTGCGTGATAAGAAAGAGAAGAATGCTGCAAAAATATCACTTGCAGAATCAAACCCAAATGTACATCACGTAGCAGCAGATGTTCTACCACAGCATCAGCCATTGTATGAACAAAATTCTTCTTTCTTACAATCACCATCAAACGGAAATCAGACTGAAACTATAAAACCAACGAAAATATCAGCAACAGCGGATCCGACTCAAACAGTACAGATTAGCCAAGAAGAGCCAACTGATCAAGAGCAGCCGATAGCACCAAAACGAACTGTCGTCGATAATGGTGGTTCTAACTCTCAAAGACAATCCCAAATGAGAAATACTAGTTTTAATAATCAGAATCTTAATCAGGTACATCAACAAACGTCAGATAATTCGCGTAGAGGTAAATTTTTCTTTTCGTGATATTTTAAACTTCAGCATCGTTTTCAATAAAAGAAATTTAGTTTTTCATTGTGCTAATATACATCAAACCATTTTTTTTGTAATAATTAACTAAATCTTTAAATGACCATTGTATGTTTATATGTCAGATGTTAGAAAATAGAGAAAAGACTTAATCAAAATGTTTGCTATTTAAGATGGGTTTCGTGACTCGTTATCGAATGATCAACAACAATCGGAAACAGATGTAAAAGTAAAATGTCGAACAATTGAAAAACAAACCAGTTCAATTCAATTTGTTGACTTTTCATCACAAAAAACGTCACTCCATTATTGCAGAAATATGTTTGATATGGAAACTCAGACAGATAATTCATTATCGGAACACAATAGCTTCGGAAAACGAGTGAAAGATAATAAACTTTGTATACAAAAATTGACAAACAAATTTTCAATTATTGAAAAAGAAACTGCAAAACAAAAACCGATGCTCTTAAGAAAACGACCAGCAATATCGGGAAAATGGTTTGCCGCTTTAGACGAGAAAAATGGACAAAGTGTTAAATCGAAAACAAAACGTCGTCATACTAAATTTGATGTAACACCAAAAACATCACGTTCAGTATCAGCCGGATCAACTGATACTACGGAAAGAAATACTAAGAACTTTAGTAAAAATATCGTAAGATCACAAACATTCAGTAATCCATTGAATACTAGTGATGAAAAAAAGAAAAACAAGATAAATACAGTAGTGAAACAACAACAGAAACGACATCACTATACACTACCACTAATTGTAACATCAACGCCAACAAGTGCTAAAGAAAATGTTTGTAAAAACTTAAATCGTTTAGAAACAACAGAGAAAGAACAATATAATCTACCACACAACAGTGTTAGTGACAATAAATTAAAACAACCAGGTTCAGTAACATTTCGTACTCATTTAAAACAATCACATTCGGATATGTGTTGTTATTCATTATTGTCTATTCAAAAACAAAAACAACAAATGTCATATGAATCGACTTTTAAAGAAACACATCAAAAACCTCTGCCATCATCATTCTCAAGTATAAATAGTGATCGCTGTTTATTCAATGAAATACAAACGGTTGATAATAGTATATCGACTGATATCAACGATACTATTGAAGACAACATTATCACCTCTTCATTACCTTCATCATCTCCATCAAAAATGATCAACAGTAGCTGTAGTATAACGTCTCACATGTACTCAAGCCCACATGATGATTAGAAAGTAAAATCAGTCTGTTATCAAAAAAAGAGAATAATGTAATAATTATCAAAGTAAGAATGACATGAAAAGTTCTGATCACAAGCATCGTTCGTCTAAAGATCACCCATCAACGGTTTGAATAAAACATCACTAACTAAATGTTATAATACATATAACGCCTCATTCAGTAATCTTTATCGTAGAGAATAATAGTGACCCATGCACATCAATTTCCTCTTTTTTGTACAAATTAATCTTTATTAAACAAAACGTAGATAGAAGAATTTGAAGTCAAGTTATTAGTCATTCGTATTTTACTTTAATACTTTCTGTTGTATATATAGTTCAACTCTCTCATGTACTTTTGCCAATATTTTACATCGATTTGTATATTACTATATGAATTGCAGAAGAATATTTAATTTAACTCATTAGATTTATTTTGACTTTTCTAATATAAATGAAAAGCAAAATTTTCTATGTACTTCTTCTACGTATCATTTCCACAATACACTTTTTTTTCCAACACTTTAAAAATAAAATAAAGATAAATTCTATTTCATTACATCTCCAACTAGACATGTTAGCTGATTAATGACCGACACCATCACTGACCCAATGATCGGCTGATATGTCTATATGCGTGCGACAAGACAAGTTTAACAGATATGTTACAAATACAAGTTTCCCATTCTGAAACGTGAAGAATAATGCTGAGCTGTTCAAACGACTCTTGTTTTTCACTATAATAAAAAAGAATAGAAAACTAGTTATAAACTATTTTATATTTGAATAGTAGAATTTGATTGTAGACAACTTATTGTTAAAACAGACCTACTTATTTTTAAATTCTTTTTTTTTCTTTAGATTTATTTTTGAAAAATGAAAATATCAGCATAGGATTAATACCTAATTATTTTTTTTTCTGGCAAGATACAATACACAGAAAAAAAGTAAGTTTGATGAGTGTCAATTTAAAATACATAGACATATATTTGAAATGAGTATGACAAACAAATAAAGAGATAAACAACAACAATGATGCACGCAAAGAGGACATAGCAACATCAAAAAAAGAAGAATACATTGAAAGTACAAAAAAAAGTTTTTATATCATTATTACACTTATTGATTTACAGCTACTGGTGAACCCCTGAAATAAGAAAATGTGTAATAAATTCTATTTAGTTAACATTCAAAAGAAGATTCTCTTACCCATAAGTATCTCCATCGTGATTCGATGCTTCACGTTCAATACTTTCACGAGAACCACTTCTAGAAATTCGATGGACGCTTAAAAGAAAAGAATGTTGAAATACTAATCTATAGAATGATGTAGAATGATATTTACCACTACCAATGGTTTAAAACAGAGGTGGACAAGTCTGACAAAAACCGATGTTAACTGCGAGAGTTATTTTACATTGCAACAATAATTTTAACTTCAACGACTATTGATAATTTTAAATTACACGATTTTAAATTACACGAAGTCCGGGCCTTGATGCCTTAAGTCTGAAAAAAGGCAGTAACTCCGGACTTAAGGTATAAAGGCCCGGACTTACCGCTTTTTTAAGTCGTTTTTTAACACAATTATGGTTATTTTAAATTATCAATATTTGTTGAAGTTAAAATTATTGTTGCAATGTAGAGTAACTCTTGGACTTAACTTCGGTTTTTGCAAGACTTGCCCACCTCTGGTTTAAAATTCAAAAACCATGGTACATACTTATTATCACGTGGTGATTGCCGTCCGTTATTTGAGTGTCTTGATCTTGAACGTGTTCTGCTACGACGTTCTCGTTCACCATCTCTTGCATCATCTCGACGTTTGGATCGTTGTTGTACTGGTGAATGATTATTATCGCTGGCACTACCATCACCATGATTATGGGAACGACGTGTTTGAGATGTTTTTACTCGTTTTGATGAATGTTTTTGACGAGATGTTGATCGACGATCACCTGATTTTGTTCTTGATCGACGACGACGTCGATGGCGAGAATCCGAACGGGAACGAGATCTGAATAACAAAACAAAGAAAAAGTGTGTATAAAGTATATTAAAGAATCCAGTACTAGCTTTTTAATTTCAATTATTTTACATCACCATTGGCCACTAATATAATGGTCAACATACCTCAGTGTGGACACATGTGCCATTATTAACAACAAACACTAAGCACCCGCCCCAACTCGCAATACGGTTCGCCATGCCATTATTCATCACTCATAAGAGAGAGATAGAGAGAGAGAAATATAGACAGATGTTGCATTAAAATGCATCATACTCCAGGGTTGCGTTAGATTATTACTCAAAAGAATCAATTTATATTGTTACTGCAATCCATTAAGTAGACAAAAAAATACCATTATGATCTCATTAAAACCACCCAAAAAGCATAAGAGTTGCCATATAATGATCAAGACTAAAATCAAATATTAACAACACTGGAATGATTTCATCAGCTACGTTCCTCAGATAAAAAGTCAGCAGAGACTTAAGCGGTTATTTGTTGTTTTCTTTGAATTATTGTCCTAACACATCGCGTTTGTCCAACAAACAAATCTTTCAACGATTAATTTACTCTAACTGTCATATTTATATTTCTACCATCGTATAATTTCATTGCAAGAATACATAATTCTTTTTTCTATCTCTTATAGCAAAAACTATTGCTTAACTTTTGGGTAATTTGAGAAACAAACATTATTTTACTTTTGAAAAATAGAGTTCGCAAGAGCCATCCATCAAAAGTATGATTCATACTTTTATGAAACAGATGTAATAAGAAAAGGTAAACATAACTATTCAATAATCTCGGATAGAATTAACAAATATTTAAATGGACATATACCGTTTTGGACTATATCCATATCTACTTGTTCTACTTGTTCTTGATCCATGGGAGCGATAGGGTGATGGTGATCGTCTTGGAGGAGCGCCACTATAAGGACGATATCCACCTCTTCTACCTATTGTGTAAAAGAAATCATTTTTTTAATATAAACTGGTAAAAAATTATAATCAATATTCTACCTCCGTAATTACGTTTACGTGCCCAACTGATTCCAATACGAGAACTACCAATAACTCTAAAATTCACCATAAGTATGTAATAACAATATTCTTATCTAAATAGAAGTACTTACTTGCCATCTAATTCTTTAACGGCTTGTTCTCCGTCTGATCGGTGTTTAAAATTAACAAATGCAAAACAGGGTGGATTTGTTGCTACCCAAACTTCATTAATTGGACCATATTTTGAAAACATTTTTTCTACTTCTTTTCTTGAAACACCAACGGTTAAATCAGACACATGCAGACGATAACCATCTTAAAAAAGAGTTACAATAATATTTTGAAAGAAAAGTGAAAAATTCAAGCGAGTTTTACCTTCTCCATTCCAATTTGATGAGTGAGCAGCTCGACCACTCGACGAAGAGGACATTGAACGTGAACGGTCTCTACTTCGACCCATTGTTTTTTTTCAAATAACAATAGATATCTAGAAATAAAAACAAAATATATATAGAAAGATATCTATAAAAAATAAAACAAACCGATAGAAAGGTAGTTTTATGCTTTATATCTAATACGAGCATAAAAATTTCATTAGTTATAGTGGAATCGACATGAAGAAAGGCCTCGTCACGGGAGAACTACACTTTATTCGGTAAATTAGAGATATAAATGGGTAAGGAAGAAACTTCATGTTTTTGTGTATATACCATCAACATGATGTAATTAACGGTAGAACTACATTTAGAATACAAAAAGGATAGATAATAGTCTGCAATATATTGTCCTACAGCAAAATAAATATTTTTTCTGTTCTTCTCTTTCTAATAGACAGGTTTAGGCAGAATGATAACAATGTGTCACATTCACGAGAAACTATAATTACCAAATAAAGCTTATAGCAACTAGAATTGTGTCAAAACATCATTCAACACGTATATTACACATCATCTGGATTTCGTCACTGTCAGGTGAATAAATTAGAGAAAAACACTTAATGTTCTTTTATATTTATTTTAAAGATAAACAGAACAAATAAACAAAAACACAAACGTACACGAAAAGAATAGGTATATTTGCCATGGCGACACAGTAAAGTTATATTATAAATTTACAAACAGTAAAATTTAAACAAATAATCATGAGTCTGATACATTTACCAGTATAAATAAAAAGACAAACAGAAATAGCAAATGATGTATTTTCTATTGTTTGAGTAAGAAAAGTAAACATTTCGAGTATATGTAATTACTCTTGTTAATAACATCGAAATGTTCGTTGTAATAATAATTTAATCGTTTTCAACTGCAGCTGCTCTAGAATAAATAAAGAAAAAAACGAAATCCATTGAACTAATAACAATACACTAAATGTTACTACAAATCTTTACCTATAATTACTACTGTCCGTGTCTTTATTTCGTTTTGGTGATGCACTTCTGCTTCTTGTACGACGATTTCTACGACTAAAACAGCACATCTACATGTAGTCGAAGATCTTGTAAATAACTACTGATACATACCTAATCTGATCATTTGGTGAAGCAGAACGACTATTACGATTGATATTATTATTATTTTCCTTTGAATTACCATGTTTTGACGATGGTTGTCGTTGTTGTTGTGCAGGAGAACGGCCACGTTTTGGTGCTGGACTACGGGAAAGAGAACGACGACGTCGATCTCCCGATGGTGAACGAGATGAACGACGACGACCTGTACGTTCACGAGAACCACTTCGTGACCTGGAAGAAATATTCATAAAACGTACTAAAGATCAAAAAGAAGTTCTATACGCATTTCTTTAATAAAAAATTAAATTCTAAGATAAGAATCTGTGCATGCGCCTAATATTTTTTTATTATGTTTACCATAAATTGTAAAACACAGTGGTAGCCAAATACACTCAAAATAGACCGCCAAACAAATCACAATCAAGTGGCTGAATGAGGATAAATACTTCATGTCATTGTCATTACATCATTATCATCAATCAGTTAAAGCGACCAAACACATGAGATATGATACGGTATACAGTATGGAGTGCAGAACAAGCATTTTCAATCATTTTTTGCACAAAAATGACGCCAAGTCACGACGCACCAACAATAGCAAGAGGCTAAAATCAAATATATCGACACACTATAGAATATTCGATATATGATGAATGACTATACTAAAGAGATCTAAAAATTCCTAAGGTTGTATCATAAAAACTAATTCGACACACACTGTTTTCTGTTAACAATAGGTTTACCTCTCTTGAAGAAAAAGGATTCAACATTATAGGATTTAAAAAAGGACTATAGCTGCTACTAGGGAAACAAAATGTCAATAGTTACACTAACGGAATTAGAAAATTTCCTTTAGTAAAAGTACTTTCTTTTTACTGCTAAAATGAAGTATTTTTGTTTCAGTTACAACTTTTACAAAGAAACTTATACATTATTTTCATATCTAAAAATAATGTGATGAAATTTGCCCGAAACTTAATGAAGAGTCTTGAATTAATCCTATCCTGTCAATAGAAACTTAGAATAACCGCTGAAACAAGCGTAACAGAGGTGCAAAATCTGTTAGTAATTCCCTGAGGAAGACGAATCTCGAAACGAACGAAGTAAAAATGCGTTTACCTGCTTTCATACTGCATTCGCTAGAGGGATAGTGACACTCTCCGATTGTGAGTGAACTTTTAGTACCCGTTTATTCTTGTTTTCCTCACCTTCTATAAATAAAATGAGGAAAGTTTTTCTTATTTTCTTTCTCTTCCGAGATGGTATGAACTTATTATTTCAGAAGTTCTCCCGAAATAATTTTTTTTCTTAGTACCGTTTTTGGACGAGGAAGATTCTGAATCTTTGTAGCGTAAACTAGTAAGAAACCCTTCTTGTATGATAAATCGGTTTGCTGAATTGATTAAACCGTACTTGTTTGAAAATTTACGGTTTGTGGTTTATGGATTCACTAAACTTTCATCGAAAATATTTTTTGGCTCTTGACTCATGATTTTCCTCTTCAAAAAGAGCTTTCCTATGAAGTCTTACGGCTCTGCTATCTACTAAATTCTATCCGTGCTTAAGTTTTCTAACTATACTCTAACAGTAAAAAAACTCGATAAAGTATTCTTCGATGAAAGTTCATAGTACCATGGTTTATTATGCAAGAGTTTTTAGTCTTACATCTTGATGAAACAAAGGATGTAGAAAATGACACTAGTATGTCACTACCATAAATCTCAAACTAACATTTTCATCCTCTCAACGTTACTGATGTCGGTTGAAACTAATGTAAATTATTTTTTGAAACTATATTAAGTCAGAAAAATCACACTAGAAACATAAAAACTATTTTCATTTATAAAACACACTTTTAGTATAACATACCTTGAATCTCTTTTCGGAGAATAATGTCGACGATAAGACGAGCCACCATAACCGCTCGATCGGTCGCTACCACCACCACCACCACCTCGTCGATCATTAAAACCACCTCGTCCTCCACCGTAAGGTGATGATTGTCTACCGTAAGGACGTCGACCTATGTCAAAGAATGGATATAATAAAGCATAATTTATGTAATACTTTGACCACAGATCTTACCTCCATAGTTACGTTTACGTGCCCAACTAAGTCCTACTCGACCTCCACCAATTATTCTAGAGAGGAAAAAAATTAATCATTCATTATGATCAGAATGTCAATTATGAGAAAAAAGTCATACGATTCACATAATACGAAAGAAAAAAAGAAATTCTATTAAACATTCTAGAAGTTTTCACTTCAAGTTTCTATAGTTTGCTGATACAAAAGTGGTGGTACTAAGTGTGTGAATCGCCAAAGATATGATAACGTTAAATTCAATTGCCTACATAAATCATTTTGTACTCACTTCCCATCCAAATCTTTAATGGCTTGTTCTCCGTCTGATCGGTGTTTAAAATTAACAAATGCAAAGCAAGGTGGATTTGTTGCTACCCAAACTTCATTAATTGGACCATATTTTGAAAATAGACGTTCAATTTCTTTTCGTGTTACACCAGCATTCAAATCAGATATATGTAAACGATAACCACCTAGATAAACATAAAAATCATCTCTTAGAAATAATTAAAATAAAAAGAAATATTTCGATTTAAAACTTACCTTCTCCATCCCAATTTGATGAGTGAGCAGCTCGACCGCTCGATGAAGAGGACATACTACGGGAACGTGAACGATCTCTACTTTGACCCATTTTATTATTAGTTTGATGGGAAATTGTTAATCTAGAACAAAAGTAGACATGATAATAATATTTTTGATTAGAAGAAGTGCTAATGACAATAATTCCTCCTATTCAAAAAATATTTTAAGTTTTTTCATTCTTCTTAATATATAACTTCTCATAATATTTGATGTATGAGTTAGAGTAATGTTCAATTAAGAAAAAATGTGTACAAAAAAAACCATAAAATGGTTTAAAAAAAAGAACAAGAATGTTTTTAAAATACAAACGTGGCTTAAAATTTTCATCACTGCTGTGTAAATGAATTATGATAAAAACAAAACAAAAAAAGAAGAAAATTGCAGAAAAACATTTCACCGGAATTAATGTTTATTTTCTTACAACAGAATATCATTGATATTCTTTTGCAAAATTGTTTGACGTACAGTATCAAATACATGTTTAATATTGTCTGTATCTACGGCTGTTGTATAATGATGATAAGTTTTTGGTAATGTCATATTTGTTTGATTACGATAACGAAGAAATAAATTTAATATAAACTCTTTCACATGTTCAATATTTTTGCTATCACCAGTAAATTCTGGATACCAATTTTTAATGTTTGATCGTCCAATTTTTTCTATTAATAGATCATGTTTGTTTAAAAATAGTATAATTGATATTTGATTCAAAAATTTATGTTCAATTATTGTTTGAAATAATTCACAAGATTCAGTTAAACGATTTTTTGTTTTATCTAAAATAGAGAAAAGTGATTTAGGATATAGACAATTTTTATTTTCTTATTACAATATTTATTTCAGATATTTTATATAAAATCTAATGAAAAATGAGATAGAAATAAGTTATCTTACCTTCTTTTAATGTTTGATCGTATTCAGATGATGCAACAATAAATAAAATTAATTGACATTCTTGAAAACAGTTTAACCATTTGTGTCTTTGACTTCGTTGTCCACCAACATCAATAAAAACAAATGGTTGATTACGAATAGAGACATTGTATTCAACAACGGCTAATGATGATTTTCGACTATAAAGAATATCTGTATGAGATGGTACATAATCCTAAAATTAAAGAAAAAGAAACGAAGTAAAACTAATGTAATTATATTTTAATTCTGTAAAATATATAAAATAAATTCTGTTCTAATTAATTGATGTAGTAATATACAATGTAGCATCTATTTCTTTGACACTTACTAGAGAACCAATACGATCAATATTTTCACAAAAATATTCAAATGAATCAGTCTAAAATAGTTAAATAACATATAATTGATAATTACACGATCATAAACAGTTGTCAACTTACAATTTGAAATTCATTTCTTCGTTGAAACGTCTCTTGTATCGCTTTATCCATCCATAATAATTTTAAACATGGTGCAAATTTTTCAGAAAAGAATTTAGAATCAATATATTTATTACTATTTGCTGTTATAAACGATTTAAAGGCATAAAATTGTCTAATATGTATTGATGATTGTTCGGAATATGATAATGGTATATTCCACAGTTGTATTTGATGTAGTAAGACGTGTAGACAACGAACTATATTGATATAAATTTGTTGTCGATATTCATCCAATTCTGTGTCGCTGAATTCTTCACCATAGATAATTTTCATTTGTTTTATGAATGTACTTTTTCCACTTTCAGCCGCTCCTAAAATAGGATAATCATTTTCATATTAGATAAAATAACGTTAACATAAATATGAACATCAAAATTTGTCACGAAAAAAGAACTGGTGAAAATAGTGAAAACCATTGATCCTGAATGTGAATACATAGTAAAAAGTTGTCAATTTAAGGATGGATCAATGGATTAAATTGTCACAACAAATAGTATAAAATGTGAAGAACGAATCTTTTTATTAAATATGTACGATTTAATATGCTAATTGATCATAATAAGAAAGAATATTAAGATCTAGCAACAGACTTATTAGAAATAACTGCAAATGTGTATTTTTCAGTTTTTGGTCATGAAAATGATTACTAGTACGTTAAAGATCAATGAGCTATAAGATATTGTGTAAGAAAATCAAAGCAAACATAAAATGTTATTTGATTCAAAAGTTATTCTAAAAAAAAATGACAACATTTATTGCAATTAAAATTATGTAAAGCTTAGCTTGCTTAGATTAGTTATCTCAATATTTTCTTCATTGTCTTTTACTCAATTTCTGACAGTAAATTTTCTAATTTAGTCGTTCATAAAAACACTTTACCAGTAACTAGAAGAGGGCTTACAACAAATAAAAGAAGCAAAGGAAAGTATTAAAAAGCACAACAAAACTAAACTTCAGCTATTATTATTAACAACTCATACTTACGACTAACATAAATTTAGATTTCTATAAAGAAAAATATTTTCCAGTTAGCAACAAAAACTTATCTTATATAAGTTTAATTAATTAAAAAAGAATAAATAAATAAAATATTTTTTACCGAGTAAAAGAATTCGAATTTGTCTTGTCCGATGTTTTTTCTCTTGTTTAAGACGACGTTCAATAACATAATTTCGTTGTTTATCAGAGTTCTTGCTTGAACAACAATAAGCGACCGTCTTACAGAGATATGACATTGATCGTAACAGACATGATAGTTTTGAAAATTAATTTCTAGATAAAATGAAAAGTGCATATATAAAATTTTTATAAGTGATCTTCTTTTCTGAGAACACGTCTCTATGAAGAAAATCGAGATAAATTAGATGCTAGTGTTTGCTCTAGACATATCTTATCTATAGTATGGTTTTTAGCTTTTTATTATGACACTCACCTTAGCATATAATCAATCAAACACTTCAGGAACCTTTGTACCAGCTTGTCATCATCTTTTATTCATATTCATAATTTAATGTAAACGGAAGAATAGTTAAATTGCAGTTTATTATATCAGACGAAAAAAAGCCCATTATTATCTGCCATGTTTTTTAACTTGTATTTTATATTATTAACTAATTCTACTTAAATGCATACGTATGCCGCATAGAGGAAATGTGGCGACACGAGAACAAACGATAGCGGCATCCTTCGTTTCAAATTGAGTTATCTAATTAACAGTATAAGTCAATTTAACTATGTATTCAAACAATTTATATCACTTCATTCAAATCAAATTTTTTTGTCTAGAAAAAACAACGGAATTACAACAGGATAATTATGAAAGTATAAACTGAGAATATTATATTTTTTCGTACAATGTTGATGATGAAAAATTGTAATTGATATTAGTAGTATAAACATTTAGAAACGAATTTAGATGAAATTCAAAGAAAAGTATAACATTTAAATTTTAGTCAATTGTTTCATTCATATCGAATGAATATAGATAATTTTACTATAAAAATTTTTTTTTTTTGTTCTTTGTATTAGAATCAATTGTATGTTTAGTAATGTAATAAGAAATGTTTCCAAATATATACGTCAATATAAAAATAAAATTACCTACATAAAAGTCATTTATTTTCTTCGTTTCTTTCTCGTTCAATTTAACCAGATTTTAGAATGAACGAATGTGAATATTAAACTTTTTTTCTATAAAAATAAAAGAGAACAAAAAAGAAATAGAGCGACGTTTTCAGAGACGCTTTTTTTTTTTTTGTAGAATTAAATGAGAAAAACAATAAATAATAAAGCTTTTTATTCAGAACAATCGGAAAACAGAAATCACACAAAAATATTATAGTCATTTATAAAATTGAACAAATTTTACTTGTACTATAGTGAGTGATATTGAAACGATGCCTGAACCAATGTTAACAGATGAACAAGAAAATGAGCTTATACGTCAAGTTTTTAATGGAAAACTTGATAATTTGCCGAATTTAAGTTCAAAAATTGTTCGTATTTTCACCTCTTCTACGTTCACTGGTAAGAACGATTTTGTTTCGATGATATCATCTATGATCGGACATTTCATTGTCTTAGATACAAGTATGGAACGAAATACACTCATGCAAGAAACTTATCCAAAATTAAAAGAGTATTGTCGAGAAAAACATGGACTCGAATTTCAAGTGTGTCATATGGAATAGTCTTTTCATGGCTTCTAATAAGAGTTGCTATCTTGCTTGTTTTTATCAATGGTCGAAAACGTAGTGTGTGATTTTGCTCTTTGGATTATAGTGAACAAAGTGAACCATATAAAATATCTCAAGATTGTACTTCAGAGATATTTCTTGAAAAAAAGGCCGATTATCTATGGTTTTGGCGAGAATATTTTATATTTATTTAGGTTGTTGATATGCGATGGGGTGTGAGAGATGAAGCTACAGATGATCATAAGACAACAGAGTTGTGTATGCAAGAAATAGACAATTGTCAGCGAGTATCTGTTGGACCAAACTTTGTGGTAAGAAGGAATACTAAAACGGTGGACATTCTTGTCATTTTATTGATCATTTTAGGTCTTTTTGGGTCAAAAATACGGTTATCGTCCATTACCAACAAAAATTGAAGAGAAAGAATTTGGTATGATAACATCCGTGTCAGCGAAAGAAGACGCAAGGTTACTAAATCAATGGTTTAAATTGGACACAAATAATATGCCCTCATTGTTTGTTTTACAACCAGTCAGTTCAATTTTTACAAATTTTACAAACAAGGTAATTAACAGTTCTATTCTCTAGGTGTTAATATAGATTTTTTTCATTATTCTATAGGCACAACCGAGGCTGATGGAGGAAGATCAAACCCAGTGGTGGGAAACAATGGGAAAATTAAGTCGAGCTGTTCGTTTTGCAGCCATGGAATTATTTAAACAAGGTTTATTTACCCAGTTTGACAATCATCGTTATAATTGGTCGGGTAAGTCAAAAACACTGATTAATTAACAATATTTTCTCATTATGGATTTTTAGTTACCGAACAAGAAGTTGTTCGTGGAATTTTAAATGCTAAAGATAATGAAGATCATACATTAGCATTTATAAGAGAAATACGTAACATTAATGTCAGTTTATTAAGGTAAACACTCTACACATACACAACATGACGAATCATAAATGGATTATCACGTTTTAGACATTCAATCAAATTTATTAATATTTCTGTATATACTCTAAAAACCGAATATAAAAAACTTGATTAATCAATCTAAAAATATTTCTTTTACCTATTTGTAGCTAAACGTTTTTGTTGTGCTACTCCACGATCAATAAGTTCAACAATTCGTCGATAAAATGTTTCAATAAATTCTTGTAAATATTCTGCATGAAAATTCTTATTCAAACCATCTTCATCTGTCCAATCAATAGGGTAACTGATAGTACTCGATTC